ATATTACCACCCTGTTCCAGAATTTGGGTCCAAATATCTGGTACCTTGAGTAATTGTGTTAAGCAGGAGCGTCCCGGCATAAAACTGTGTTGGCAATCCTTTACAAGGTTGTTTTGTTGTAGATGTTCCATCATGGCATCTCTTATAATGCTCTCAAGTATACTTTACATACTATGCTGGTTAGGCTCACCGGTCTATAGTTATTCGTGGAGTGACAATCGTCCTTCTTGAAGATAGGATTCACAAAAGCCATTTTCCAATCACTGAGAACCTTTTGCTCATCTAGGCATTTACAGAACAGGATCTTCAGGGGCTCAGCAAGCTCATTCCACAACTCTCTTAGCACTTTGGGATGCATCATGTCAGAACCGAGAGTCTTATGAACCTTTAGCTTTGACAGTTTATTTCTTATAACCTCTTTGCTGGTTACACAGAAACAGTGTATAGTAAACGTTCAACATCAGTCAAGAAAGTATGTAAAATATTAAATGGGATAAGTGTGATACTTCGTCCACGTTATAAATTGCCCTTAAGTGCATGCCCAGTACTTGCCAACAGTGCGTAAGAGAAACGTGACCGATCGCCAAAGCTGATAACGAGCCGATCAGTGGTGAAGAAGATAAAAATAGGAGTTGACACACTCATATGAGGTACCGGAGGTTCACTTATTAAACCCTCAAGTACTGTATAAGGATTCATGTAATGTTAAGCTGTGAAAGAAAGAACAGTACGGGGCTTCAAAATAGCTCTGGATAATTTTATTACATTACAACAAGAGAATTTCATACAGGCCATTGTGTTGACCGCTAATACTATTTACTGATAAGCTTTGCGTAAATGAACGGATTCATTCATTATCATCTACATAAGTACAGTACGAGTCCCTTAATAACATTAACATTGTGTTTGCGCACACGCACACACACACACACACACATCCTTGACCACTGAAGGATCAAGACGTACCTGTTGCTGCTCTGGCAGCAGCCAGGTCAACTGTTATGTTGGCCCATACCAATTCCCTCTCTTGAACCCTCCTCCCCACCGGAATATCAACAAGTTCTCGTCAGAAGTTACTATTTCATTTAGGAAAGGAATGAAACCAGTGCTGAATAGTGGTGAACAGTGCTTAAGTCAGTGAAAAACAATTCAACAGTAACAGCCGAGTCGTATCCAAGCCAACCTTCACACAGTGAGGTCCCAGGTACCCAGTGATAACTGCCCCTGAGACTCAACACCAGCTATGTGTTAATCCGGCAACGTTAGGGAGGCCTGGGACCACACCTCACTCACTTACTTTTACTTACTTTTATCCTCTTCACCACTGATCGGCTCGTTAGCCGTTTGGGCGATCGGTCAAGTCTCTGATTACTTTTCCTTTTCTTTTATCCTCTTCACCAAAAGATTGGCTCGTTAGCTGCTTGGGCGATCCGTCATGTCTCTGTTACGCACTGTTGGCAAGTACTGGGCATGCACCGGCTCCTGAATGTACCTGAACCCGCTCCAGTGTTGGTCAAGTCTTGTCTTGAAAGAGCTCACACTCGGTGCGTCACAGCACTTTCTGGTAGATTGTTCCAAGAATTTATAACCCTCCCTCTGAAAAAGTTTGCCCTCACAGTTTTCTGGACTTGCAGCTTCTTCAATCTTGAGCTGTGACCCCTTGTGGGGCGAGCGTCTGCCAGCTCCAAGTAAGGACACTCAACTGAGTAGTGCCCCTTGAGATGCTTGTACATTTCAATTAGGTCACCCATTGCCCGTCTGTAGTATAAGCTAGGCAAGTTCAGGTGCTCCAATCTCTCAGGGTAGCCGAGGTGCCGAAGTGCAGGCACCAGTCTGGTGGCCCTCCTTTGAACATTTTCAACCAACTGACATTCTCTAGCATATCTCGGGGACCAGACTGGGTGACAGTACTTGAGATGGGGAAGCACTTCACTCTTGAAGATCGTTACAAGGGACGGACCCATCTAGATATCTGAACGACCTTCTTATAAGACCCAATAATTTATTTGCCTGATTTACCTTCTTATCACAATGTGCCCGAGAACTTCAGCTCATTGTCAACATACACACCTAGGTCCTTCTCAAAATCAGTCTCAAATAGTGCAGTTTCTTCATCCCGTTGGGACATATGATACTCCTGCCTACTTACCGTTGGTACGCCCCAGGTGCATCCTCTTACACTTCGTGACATTGAATCTCAGCAGCCATTTCTTCGACCATTCTTGGAGCCCACAGAGGTCCTTCTGCAGCTCTTCACAGTCCGCTTGGTTCTTGATTTCCCGAAATAACTTGGCGTCATTGGCAAACATTTGTATGGAGGAGTGTACAACGTCAGGCATGTCATTTATGAAACAAACAAACAACAGCGGGCTCAATACACTGCCCTGTGGTACCCCACTTGTGACAGGTACAGATGATGATTTCGTGCTATTACTCACCACACACTGCTTGTGGTCATGTAGAAAGTCTTCTATCCACGCTAGGACATTTCCCCGAATCCCGTAGCCTTCCAGTTTTATTTTCAGCCTTTCATGGAGTACACTGTCGAAAGCCTTGGCAAAATCTAGGTAAATATTGTCGATATTACCACCCCGTTCTAGAATATGGGATCCAATATCTTGAGCAATTGTGTTAAGCAGGAGTGCCCCCGCATAAAACCGTGTTGGCAATCCTTTACATGGTTGTTTCGTAGTAGATGTGCCATTGCGGCATCTTTGATAATACTCTCAAGCACTTTACATATTATGCTGGTCAGGCTCACCGGTCTATAGTTGTTCGTGGAGTGACGATCGCCCTTCTTGAAGATAAAACTCACATGAGTGAGTGAGTCCTCTGACATCAGACCACGTGATGTTCCCATGATGCTAGGACACCACGTAGTGAATGAGTTGCTACAGCATCATGTGAGGTTCCTCATAACACCATCTGTGAGGGAACTACTACACCACATCAGGTCCCCCATAACACCATCTGTGAGGGAATTACTCCACCACATCAAGCCCCTCATAACACCATCTGTGAGGAAAGTACTACACCATGTCAGGTCCCTCCTAACACCATCTGTGAGGGAATTACTACACGTCAGGCCCCTCATAACACCATCTGTGACGGAATTACTACACCACGTGATGCCCCTCATAACACCATCTGTGACGGAATTACTACACCACGTGATGCCCCTCATAACACCATCTGTGAGGGAATTACTACACCACGTCAAGCCCCTCAAAACACCATCTCCAAGGGAATTACTACACGTCATGTCGCCCATAACACCATCTGTGAGGGAATTACTACACCACGTCAAGCCCCCTATAGCACTACCTACTACACCACGTGATGCCCCTCATAACACCATCTGTGAGGGAGTTACTGCACTACGTGTCTGCTGTTCAACACCTCAGCGCACATGATCTACGTGACCTCCACTGTAAACATTAATCTGTATGTTCGCTGCATGTTCCTTTACCTTTCTCTTATGAAGGCTTTTGTTAAACCGTCAATGTATGCAATAAGTCATTTATGTCCAATGTGTATTTTCAGCCTTCGGGCTGCAGAACATGTGGGGTATGAGATTGTTTGGTTCACACTCAGGATGGAATGGAGAAAGGAAACTCACAATGTGCTCTCTATATACATGTTGTATTGGATGTACAATGCAGCTTGGTGCTGGGAAGGCAGCATGGTTACAAGCGTTGAGTAGAGAGAGCTGGTTGGTGAGGACGCTCAGAGAAGGACAGCTTGTGGGTCGCCATGCTCGCCAGTGGGAGAGAGGACCGCCAGGCAGGCGGAGGAGGAACGAGGGCCGCCAGGCAGCGGCGGAGGAGGAGCTGTTGCTGGCTGCGGCTGTAGGTAGAGAGAGGCAGGTCACCACGAGGTCAGGTCTTAAATAGCGGGGGTTGGCGTGGCTTAGTAGTTGACCCCCGTTCCGTGGTGTATGGCGGCGCTGGTTGACCTAGACCACGAGGCATACACTGGGGAATTGGTGGGGTCGGCTAGGCAGCGACAAACAGCGTTTGTAGGGGAGAATTCCACTACAATACTCCCCCTTCCCTCCAGGCGGTGTAGGAGACTTGTTGTCTGCAGGGTTGCTTAGCACATGTGAGGCAGAACGGGCGGTGCATGCCTCATGTGAGACAACGGCGATGGCGTGGATGAGCCGGTCGCTGGGGACAACTGTCTAGATACACAATATCTGTGGGAGTAGAGAGGGAGAATAAGGGTGTGTGGAGGCGATGAATGTTGTGCTTCCCTCACGGCAGGTACAGAGTCGTCAGATGCGCCTGCTGGGGTGTGTGGGCCTGGGTCAGGAGCAGGGGCTGCGTCAGCAGAAGCGGATGAGGGCTCGTGACAGCAGCTGGGTCCACGACAGCAGCAGGGTGCAGGACATTAGCAGGGAGTACCTGAGGGAAAAAAGAGGGGTGTGTGGGTCCGCACTCGGGAACAGAGTCCGCATCAGGGGCGGCAGGGGTTACTGTTGGGCCGGGGGCGGCGTCTGAGGCAGGACGGGTGTGCTGGGGTCGGTAGGACGGGTGTGCTGGGGTCGGTAGGACGTGGTGCTTGGGGCAGGAAAAGGAGCTGGTGTCTGCTTAGAGAAGCAGTGTTGCTCTAGGGTGTCTAACCTGCGGTGTAGAGACAGTAGTTATAGAGCCGATGAGAGCTGCTTCTGTGTGGATAAGCCAGTCTTCCATGTTGCTTGAAGACTGGGAGCGTGATCAGTTTCTCCTCCAACCTGTGTGAGTGCGAATCTCCGGGAGTCACCATTTGTGGGGTATGAGATTGTTTGGTTCACACTCAGGATGGAATGGAGAAAGGAAACTCACAATGTGCTCTCTATATACATGTTGTATTGGATGTACAATGCAGCTTGGTGCTGGGAAGGCAGCATGGTTACAAGCGTTGAGTAGAGAGAGCTGGTTGGTGAGGACGCTCAGAGAAGGACAGCTTGTGGGTCGCCATGCTCGCCAGCGGGAGAGAGGACCGCCAGGCAGGCGGAGGAGGAACGAGGGCCGCCAGGCAGCGGCGGAGGAGGAGGTGTTGCTGGCTGCGGCTGTAGGTAGAGAGAGGCAGGTCACCACGAGGTCAGGTCTTAAATAGCGGGGGTTGGCGTGGCTTAGTAGTTGACCCCCGCTCCGTGGTGTATGGCGGCGCTGGTTGACCTAGACCACGAGGCATACACTGGGGAATTGGTGGGGTCGGCTAGGCAGCGACAAACAGCGTTTGTAGGGGAGAATTCCACTACAAACTTTTCAATAAACCGTTAATTATTATTATTATTATTATTATTATTATTATTATTATTATTATTATTATTATTATTATTATTATTATTATCCTTTAATTATTATTATTATTATTATTATTATTACACACACACACACACACACACACCTCCAACCGGTGAGATACGACAGGAAACGCATGAAAATGAGAGGCCTATTTCTTTCTTTAATCATTCAAAAGTCCAGAAAACTGTGAGGGGTAACTTTTTCGGAGTGAGATTTGTGAACATTTGGAACAATCTGCCGGAGAGTGTTGTGACGGCGGCGAGTGTGAGCTCTTTCAAGACCAGACTTGACCAACACTGGAGCAGGTTCAGATACATTCAGGAGCCAGTGCACGCCCAGTACTTGCCAACAATGCGTAACAGAGAGTGGCCGATCGCCCAGCGGTGAAGAGGATAAAAGTTAAGCAAAATAAAAATAACCACTAGCCTTTCACAGATCTAAGAATTGTCTCAACATTACTCTAAAATATTTTCATCAACAATTTCTAACAAACAAATGCGATCGTTCATTCTTCATGTTCTGTACATATACATTTCACTAATAATATCACGTAGCAAACTAGCAATGAAATATTAATGAAACGACAACAACATGAACAACTCACCCTCGTGCGTCCTTGAGTTAACATCATTGCCACACGTCGCATAATGAACTTGACTCCTTCACGTCTTCTCCACTTGCTGATACCTAGCAACAACACCATTTACTCAAACAACAACGTAATTTCACTTAACGATTAAACAAAACACTTAATGCAAATAATGTGGTATGACATGCTCTAAGATCTAAAGTACACGTTATCTGCGGTACAGCAAATGCATGAACACAAACCTAGAACACTGTCTGAGACTGTGAGGGCACAGCCGCCCAGTGAGTGAGGCGCCGCCGCCAGTGAAAGCACTGACTTCACCAGCTCAGTTGACTTGTCCTAGACGCGTTCACTATAATTGATAGGGTCGGGAACTCTACGGTCAAGGGCATCCGGGTGCTGATTACAGATGTGAATGTTGTGTGTATAAGGCGGTGCTTGAGTCTATTAAGTGGTAGTCGTACTCGTATTGCAGAATGATATTCATATATCTGGGAGTATATACACAGAGGTAAATGATATTGTAAAGTTCAATAATGAGCGGCGTTATTTGAATGACATGAAGATTAGACACCCCAGCGTACTTCACCCACTTGATAATTTAAACACCTGAACACCCTAACTTTACCTGGTATAGGTAACCGCGCTGCGACTCGTTAGGCGGTCGATCACGTTTTTTGTTACGCAATGTTGGCAAGTACGAGGCAGGTACTAGCTCCAGTACGTATCTGTACCCGCACCAGTGTTGGTCAAATCTGGTCTTGAGTGACTTCACATTCGGTGCGGTCACAGCGCCCTGTGGCAGATTGTTCCAAAAGTTCACAACCCTCACTCCAAAAAAGTTTGCCCAGACAGTTTTCTAAACTTGTGGCTTCTTCAACTTCAAGCTGTGACCCCTAGTGGGTCGGGCATCCGCCTGCTCCAAGTATGATCACTCGACTGAAAGATGAATCTTGTCCTCTAAGGTGTTTATGAACTTCTATTAAGTCAACCTTTGCCCTCCTACAGTATAAGCTGCAGGCAAATGCAGGTGTTCTAATATCTCTGGGTGCAGTAGTGAAGGCACCAGTCTGGTGACCCTCCTTTGGACGCTTTCACTCAACTGACAGTCTCTAGCATTATCAGTATCTCGGGGACCAGACTGGGTAGCAAATCATTTTTGAAGAGCCTTACGAGAGACGGATCATCTACTTCTAGGTATCTGAACGCCCTTCTTATAAGACCCACTGTTAGTTGCTTGACTCGCCTGTCGCGAAAAGTATCTCGTTAATGTACATATAAATATAACTGTAATATTTCTTTGTACTAAGTATTAGAATATTAAGTTGTGTATCACCTAATAATCCTAGTTATTCGGATGAGCAAGCAAAATACAGTAAGTGTTTAGATATGCCGCGAAATGAAGAGGGAAAAAGAAAGCATAATGAAGTGAAAATTTATTCATAAACTACGATTTTCTTAATTACCAAATTTAATAAAAACCCACTTCGAAATGAAACAATAAGTTTGCCCAATATAAATAATTATAATGAATAGTTTATGAGATAATTCATATTAAGCCTAAGACATTTTCCCGCGAATTGAACAGTTAAGCTGCGGTCACACTAGAGTGACTAGAGCATTGGTTCCCAACCTGGGGGGTGAGGGGGTCAGAAATTGATTCTCAAATCCGACAGCCGCACCCTTGTCCACTACTTTCTAAGATGTCCCCACACACAAAGCTTCCGTGACGCCTGCTGGACCACCACTCCACGACCCCCTGACGGAGACACGATGATCTTCCCCATACTGGGTCAGACACTATATGTATATAATATTGATGATGTGTTGAAGGAATATCCTTCCTTCCTTAGGCTTTAGTGAGCCCCTTTATAATATTTATATATACTTGTGACACTTGCCAGATGCTTCTGGTGTTATTGTACAGGGGTACCTAGTGACAGCACTAGGGTCCCGCTTCCTCTATCAAGGAATAAAATATTGAAATTGAATTGGTTCTCAAATAGAGTAACGTATATCTTTTTATAATTATCGTGATTTTTTCTACAAATACGTGATTTTGGCTGTGTTAATTTATGAGAATATACACATTTTCCGTTCAAATACTTAATTTTTAGTTTGAAAGAAGTATTATTTTGATTTGGAAGCAAAAATATACATGAATTTATCTAATCTGTAAAAGTGTACTAGGTTTCTCAGTTTCATGTTTTTTGTTCATAGTAATACTGAATTTTTCATAAACACGTGGGCTTTGGTGGTTTTGATTACATTAATCCTATAATTTTCTAGAGTTCTAGACGTCCATATGGAGCTGTTGAAAAATTTCGCTCGTTGGGTATGGGGGCGCCATGGATACTGGGTTGACCAAAGGGGGCACAGTACCAAAAAAGTTAGGAACCACTGCACTAGAGTTTCTACCCAGAATAAAACACCGTATGATTTTTCAATGAGCTCCTCAAGTTGTCCTTACAGCGCTCTAATCTTTCTGGATAGCTGAGGTGCCGAAGTGCAGACACCAGTCTGGTGGCCCTCCTTTGGACATTTTCAATCAACTGAGAGTCCCTATAAACATCTCAAGGGGCACTACTCAGTCGAGTGTCCTTACCTGGAGCTGGCGGACGCTCGCCCCACAAGGGGTCACAGCTCAAGGTTGAAGAAGCCGCAAGTCCAGAAAACTGTGAGGTGTAACTTTTTCGGAATGATAGTTGTGAACTCTTGGAACAATCTGCCAGAGTGTTGTGACGGCACCGAGTAGCTCTTTCAACACCAGACTTGACAAGCACTGGATCAGGTTTAGATACATTCAGGAGCCAGTGCATGCCCAGAATTTGCCAACAGTGCGTAACAGAGACGTGACCGATCGCCCAAGTAGCTAACGAGCCGATCAGTGGTGAAGAGGATAAAAGTAAAAGTAAAAGTTTAATGCAGTATTGTACTCAGGCATTTTTGTATAATAAAACGTATATACTATTGATTTCAGAATATCTCCTCATATCAAGTGAGCATGGCAACAAAATGGCCTCAAAATGCCCATAATATTGGTCAAATAAAAAAAAAAATACGGGGAGCTTACAACTGCCCCCCGCCCCTAGGCCCCGTTGTGGGTCGTTTGACCTCTGCCCGGGTGGGCTAATTCCCGTAAAAAAAAAAAAAGCTGGTGGGTTAGCTGCGCGCGCTATGTTTCCCCACCCACAACTTCTTGGATAGCTTCAAACATAGGTTGGATGGATATATGAGCAATAGGTGTTGGGTCTAAATGGGACTGCCCTGTGTGCCAATAGGCCCGCTGCAGTTTCTTCCATTCTTATGGTCTTAGTTAAAGTTTTAACCAGAATGTCTTTAATAAGGGGGTTTAAATCGCAGTTGCCAGAATTCAAGTTGAAGTTGAGAATCTTTTGTATATATGCTGACTCAGCTAATTTTGCAATTTTTAATTTAGTTCTTCACATGTACTTCAAATAATCTTTATAATTTGTATATTTTATTTATCATTTTGTGAATACACTTTTACTGTACTTGCAAATGATTGAAGTCCGTGCACGTACTGTACAGTTCATGTGGCATGACAATAGCGTTTGCCATTTGGGCGTGTTCTGAAGAAGTGCTGCAATTCCTCTTTAAATTTTTTGACCTTTTATAATTTGATATTTTAAGTTTAATAAGAACACCTATTGCAGTGTAAAAAAAATAAATTAGATGATAGGGCTTACATAATCTTTCACTTCTTCTTTTACACCCTTCCAGTAATACCGCTGCGTAATTTTTTCATTTGTGGCATTGATATATCTGTGTCCAGCAGATGGTGCAGCATTGCGTGGCAGTTCAAAAGAATTCTTTGCTTTTCTTCTTCTGAAGTTATAATTCTCTGCCATAAAACTGAATTTGGTGCTCAAATTTGCCAAGTGATATACTGTAGTGGATTCCTCCCCTACAAACGCCGTGTGTCCGACCCTCTTCGAAATCCCCAGCGTACGCCTCGTGGTCAAGGTCGGCAACCAGCGCCGCCTAACATAGTGGAGGCCAACTATCAACCCACGCCTACCCCCGCTATATAAGACCTCACGCCGCCGTGACCAGCAAGCAACATCTCCTCCTCCGCTCCTGTCTGGTGGCCCTCGCTCCCGCCAGCGACTATGCCGCCCTACAAGCTTCCTGTCCTCCTCTGAGCACCCTTGTGAGTTGTTGAGTTGTTGGTTCGCACTCAGGATGGGATGGAAAAAGGAAACTTACAATGTGCTCTCTGTATACATATTGTATTGGATGTACAGTGCAGCTTGGTGCTGGGAAGTGGCAGCGTGGTTACAAGCGTGATGTAGAGAGAGCTGGTTGGTGAGGATGCTCAGAGGAGGACCAGCTTGTGGGTCGCCATGCTCGCCGGCGGGAGCGAGGGCCGCCAGGCAGGAGCGGAGGTGTTGTTACTTGAAGACTGGCTGTAGGTAGAAAGAGAGGTAGGTCACCGTTGTTGTTGTTGTTGAGATTGTCGGACCGTAGTCCGACACGGGCCTTTGCCTATAGGCGGCCCGTTCGGTGGTTCCGGCTGGAGCTCCTGGAGCAGCCAGACCGGATTGGGATTGTAGGTTGTCCTACCTGCAGATATGGAAGGATACTGCAGGTTGCAAGTGTGAGTGGACCCCCGATCAGTGGACGCTTACCACCAACCCCCACTCTTGGACGTGGTCAGTTTCGGAGTGGCGTGCCCCCCGAACTGGGGTCCGCACTTGCTGGGAGAGGATACTTTCTAACCTATCTGGGTGGTGGGTATCGTGTGATGACCCGGAGAAGGTGGTGAATGTGGTTTGTTTGGGCCTTTCGGGTTAGAGTGGCCGCTGGTGTTGTGTGTGCTTCTTGGAAGTTTTGAGTTCTGTTTCGGAGGTCTTGTGTGACTTCGCAGTCGAGGAGATAGTGTTCAAGTGGGTTGGCTGCTGGCTCCTGACAGTAGGTGCATTCCATGACGTCATTTCCGATCATCTGCCAGGAGCACTTGCACCCTAGTCGTAGTCGATGAAGGCTGACTTGGGTTTGTCTTGGTGTTTTCTTGTCCGCGAAAGGTGGTTCCCCTTTGGTAGCCGCCAGGTACCATTTGGCTGATTGGGAACCAGCGTTGAATGCGTGAAGGAAGCTCTTTTTGATGTGGAGCTTGCTAGTCTTTCTGAGGTGATTCTTGGTCTGTTGCACGCTTGCTGGAACTTGAATGTGTACGCTACTAGAACGTGTAGCTGCCTTGGCTGCTTCGTCTGCCACGTCGTTTCCTCCGATCCCTACATGACTGGGAATCCAGTGTAAGACGACTGGGCGGTTTTGTCTTTTTAATTCCTGTAGCTGTGCGAGAATCGAGGTTATGATGTGGACGTTGTCTCTTGGTTGGCTGTGTTGCAGCGCCTGCATGGCCGATTTCGAGTCCGTGTGAATTATGATGGACTTGTTGTGTTGTGTTGTAGCGTGTTGTAGGGCCTTTGAGATTGCTACCAGCTCTGTTTGTAGGGTGGAGCAGTCATTAGAAAGTCTCCATCGGAGGGTCTGACCTTGGGTGTAGAAGGCCGCTCCGGATGTATGATGTTTTGGATCCACCGAGCCGTCTGTGAAGTATGATGCTGCATCAGCCGGTGTCTCGGTGGCTATGGCTTCCAGAGTTTTTTTTTTTAGGTCCTCCTTCTGGAGGTTGGCTTTACTATCGCCTAGGTCGGTAATTTTGAATGTGGCTGGTGGAGGGCTCCATGGTGGAGGAACTACGTAACCATTGTCTCGTGTGTCTTGGTTGTTCTTGACGACTGTTTCTGCTTGCAGGTGTCGGATGACCTCGCTTGCCTCGTGCGACCAGGTGGCCCCTCGCACTCTGTGGTCGAGGTGGAGGGAGGCACTGATTCGAATTTTGGTAGCTGTGGGCTTATCTGATCTACAGATTTTAGCGAGGAGACCGGCTGTCACCTGCTTGACTCGTACTGCCAGGGGTGGTAGTTCAGTTTCCATTTGCAAATTGCAAATTCTGGTCCACATGGGTGCTCCGAGCATGGTCCTGAGAGCATTATTTTGGATGACTTCTAGCTTAGTTATTTGGTCTTCTCTCAGTCCAATGAGTGCTGGAGCACTGTAATCTACCAGCGATCTGATGGCGGCCGTGTAGTAGGCTTTGAGCACATGAAGGTTTGCTCCTGCGGTTGTGCTGGTGAGCGACCTCATTATATTGTGTCTGCTCTTCGTCCTGTGCCTGAGATACTCGAGTTGCGGCTTGAAAGTGAGTTTCTGGTCAAACCAGATTCCAAGACACTGGTGGGTGTTGGTCCAGACTACCGGCGTGTTTTGTATGGAGAGCATCTAATAATAATAATAATAATAATTAACGGTTTATTGAAAGAGCTTGGCAGCCAGAAGGCTGAAAATATACAGTTACATATTTGGGGAATGGGTTTCGAATTACAAATAATATACAAGTAACATAAGTGATACAAATATGATATATAATAACTAGATGGGGAAAAGCTCAAACTACAGTGCATCTTGTCTGGTGTGTCTGTGCAGATGGCCATCGCTTTCGACTTGGCTGGATTTATCTTGAGTCCAAGTCTGTTGCACTCCTCTTCTATAAGTTGGAGTGCGTGTTGCGTGTTGGCTAGTCTGTTTAATCTTCTTACTATAAGCTGTAAGTCGTCTGCATAGCATAGGAGCTTGGCTGTTTGTCTGAAAGGAAGTTTGACAAGATTTTCCATCAGGACATTGAACAGCATTGGACTGAGGATGCCTCCTTGTGGGGTTCCGTTTTCATGGACCCTGTAGCTTGAGGTTGCTCCCTGAAAGCGTACTCTTGCTTCTCTCTGTGTGAGGTAGTTCTGGATCCACCCCAGCAACCTTCCTTTGACGCCTTTTTCAGCGAGCGTCGTTGTAATGGCCAGTGGATTTGCTAGTTCGAAGGCCTTTTCCAGGTCGAGGAAGACCACCAGAGCTGGTTTGTAGTCCACTGTGCTGAGTATCTCGGCGATGTTGTTGCCTGTGCCGGTGTTCTCGGTGTAAGCAAAGATGTGAGGGTGTGGGCTGCCTACTTTCCACTTGAGTCGGTTGAGAGCCATTCTTTCTCCCGTCTTCGCTATGCAGCTGAGAAGGGAGATGGGTCTCGGTTTGTCTGGTTCTCTGGGCTTCGGAATGGGCTGTATATCTGCTTTCTTCCATTCCGGTGGAAGTCTTTGTGCTGTCCACGAAGCATTGGTGACCTGTAGCAAAGCCTCGTGTCCGGCTTTACCGGCATGGGAAAGCATGGAGTAGGTTATCCTGTCGGCCCCTGGTGCTGTGTCCTTGCTTCGTTTTAGCGACTTCTGGAGTTCTTGCTGGTTGAAAGGTCTGTCGGTGTCATCTTCACTGTTGCAGGCCTCTTCGATCATCTGGAGTCTGACCTGTCGCAGACGCCGTTGTATCTCCTCCGCCTGTCTCGGGAGGTTTTTCGTTGCTGCTCGGTCAGAGAACAGTTTTGCAAGTCTCTCGGCTTCCTCTTCTGGGTTGGGATGGGTTGGTGGTGGTGGTGTTGCCTTCCCAGATGCCCTTTGGATCTGGGCCCGCATCTTGCCAAGGGAGGTGTTCGTTCAGTTCGGAGCATCACTTGAGCCAGCTTACGTTTTTTATTTCTTCCTTCTCTTCCCTGGTATCCTTAACTATGACTTGCAGGAGATGTCTGTTTGTTTCCGTGGGATGTCTCCTGTAGTTTCTTCGGGCCATGTTCACTCTGTGGTTGAGTTCTTTCACCCTGGGACAGTAGTACCAGTAATCATTGTACTGTCTTGATGTGGGTTTTGTTTTTGGGATAGCCTCTTCTGCCGCTTGGTGAAACGCCTCGACCAATTGTTGGTAGAGGGTTGTCTCATCCACGGGTGCTGCGCCGGCCGGCTGTGATTTTTCCCGCCACTTAGCCAGGTGTTTCTTAAAGAGTCCCCAGTCTGCCTTTTGGGTATTGTATCTCCATCTCGGCGGGGGTGGAGTGGGGAGTTTGTTCACCTTCAGCGTTGTTAGGGTGGCGAAGTGGTCACTGGTCAGCGTGGGGTGTAGCTGCCAGGAGGCCGAAGGCTGTAGTGCACTGGAGACGAAGGTTAGATCTAGCCTTCCTCCCCTAATGTGGGTGGGCTCTCCGGTGTTCAGGAGGCAGATCTCGGGTGTGTCTTGAAAGGTGGTGTATAGGTGTAGGCCGTCTTCATTTGTGGGGCTTACCGAGCTTAGGAAGGGGTGATGTGCGTTGAAATCCCCTCCTATGAGTGAGGCGTGGTCAGCGGCCGAAGCGAATAATTGAGTCACCTCCAGTGAGCCCCTTGGGTTCTTGTAGATGTTGTGAACAGTTAATTCCCGTTCTTGGAGTGTTACTTTGACGGCCTGTGTCTCGATGTTTTCCCCACATGGAAATTGCTGCGTGACCTCGGAGGAGGGTATGCTTGACTTGACCAAGATCATATTTCCTCTAGTTGACGCCTGCGTGAAATGCCTCCTGTATGTCTTGTAACCACTGAATTTGAAACAGTGGTGTTCTTGTAGAAGTGTTTCTTGTAGCAGTATGATGTCAAGTTTGTCCTTGGCTGCTGCTTCTTGCAGGAGGTGTTTCTTGTTTTTGATGCCCTGAGCATTCCATGTAAGGATGTTCAGGGTGCTGATGTTTTCCACCACTGTTTCATCGGGGACTTCTGGTGGTCCTCGATGTAAATGTTCAGGTCCGATTCCGACTGGATCAGGTTCATATCTTCTTGTTCTGTGGTTTTTGCCTTCTGGGCCGTGGTTCGGTTCAGGGGAGTTGAAACGTCCAATTTCTTTCTGGGAGCTGTCGGTATCTTTGGCTCTCTGGTGGCTTTTTTCGGTGTAGAGTGTACCTCGGCTGTCACTCGTGTGAGGACCGGCGTGGCTTCCTCCACTGAGGTGGCTGGAGCTGTGGCGACTTGCCCGAGGACGCTCCCCATGAGTATTTGGAGCTATTGCAATTGTAGAAAAATAAATAAGGAAATTCGGGAGGAGGGATTAAAGAGGACATTTGTCATAATATTTATTACTACAGTTTTGTTCAGTAGCTCTTTCAGTTTTTTTTATAACCTTTCTCATTGACTGGCAAATCGTACACCGTAATATGGCATGGGTAATTGTGAACGAATATCATCATCGTTCTCTTAGAATTTATTTGCATTTATCAACGAAAGCACTTATTTAATTTATCCTATTAAATTTTAAGCATAAAATGTGTTAAATTTATTTTGTTTTATCATATTTAAAAAAAAAAAACAGTGGTTAAACTATATTCGAACATTATTGACTTTAGTGGGTCGCAGCAGCTTCATCCTTCAAGTACTGTAGTAACTTAATGAATAATCGTGGACACAGCTGCTAATCTTTCTTTGGTGGTATGATATATTATAAAGTTGGCATATCCATAAGTGTTTGATAAGATAAAGCACAATAAACTTACAGAGATCTTGGGATAAATAGGCATTAATGAAGGAGATACTATAATTTTAAAGAATACTGGCAACAAGAGGCTGCAGTATAAGTAAATAATGAACTTATTAATTGGTTCACAGGTAGACAGACAAGGCTGTATTCTGTTTAACATCGTTTAATATGTATTATAATGAGAACAGTTGTTAATGATAATGAAGGATTAAAAGGGTAAAGGTGAAGGAGACTGTAAGCACCAGTAGGACTTAATGGAATTGCACTAAATTTTCAGGATATATTATTTCGATGATACAGAGTAATAAAATCGAAACAGTAACATTGCAGGGTAATTATATAGGATTAACCAGTGAGCGAAATTGATTGAAAAAATTTATGAAAACACCGGATTTTCACTGTAATATTATAGTGGACACTTGTAGTTTATGCAAATATGTTAAAAATTGGATATTTTAAAAATAATAGTTACTTAACATTTGTGGGTATGAAAAACAGACCTAACCAACCTAACCAAGCAAACCTACCTAACCTTACCTTAACTTCCTTGCCTCCAGACCCCCCCGGTATATTAAACAGTAAGAACTTACAATGATATGGTGAAATTTGAGGCATTTTCTGGATGTGAGATGATACCGCCGCATCGGCGCTATGCACCCCGGACGGCGGAGTGATTTACTGTGTTGGCTGGTTCCACAATAAATGATTATCATATCAGAACTCACTGATGAAAATAATGTAAGACAATAAACAGTCTCTATGTAAAGGAATATTGCTGTGATCTTTAAACAATTGAAGGGTCTCGTCTTTACCCCTAAATTCGCAAATTACATCCATGTAAGATCGGCGACAACCTTCACATGACAAGCTGAAAAACAAACTGCCCCGGGCGCAGGAAAAGCCCCTCAGCAGAACACCGCCTCATTACCGCCCGCAAAATAAACTAGTGCGCTCCTAGGTGCCTAATTGTCTATGAAACGAACAATTTCCACAATAAATGGTCATCATATCAGAACTCACTGATGAAAATATTGTAAGAAAATAAACAGTAATAAAAAGAACTCGCTCACGGGTTAGTCTTATATATTAACCCATTGCAGTATTTTGGGTAAATTTTTACAAGTGGACTCTCAGCAATTTTAAGGTTGAAACAATGTTTTACTGATATGTTTTGAAGTGTTTTCAACGATTTTGACCATGATATCTATCGGAAATGAGCTGCTTTTCAGTAATCACCCCTTCTACCCTCAAAAATCTTGGGGAACCTGTGGGAATCTGGGGGTTTTGGGTGGGGGAGAGAAAAAACGAGTGATATGTGATATAAATGACTGAAGTTGGTTATGAAAGCATAACTAATCTAAACTTAACCAAACCTAACCTATCACCTGTGGCAGGCCACCGTGAGATCAAAGAAATGCCTCCAAGTCTGAATTATTATCGTAAAACCACGATCGTGGCCGAATATTATAGATCACACCCATCACACGAGCCATTTTTATTACGTAATGGATATTTTACTGTGACCAACTAAGTTCCTATAACGCTATTTTACCGTAAGTGCGCTCTGATTGTCTAATTGCTTCCTGTTTAATATGGCCGGGGGTCTGCCCGGTTTTCAGAGGTTTTCAGAATTTTGGTTAAAGTCTTGTCAACCTTTATCTCGGCATTTCCCGACTTATACAGTACTTTAATACATTCTGAGACCATATCCATGCCGAGTCGTATGAAATTCGGAGTTATCGCTGAGTTATCGAGGGTTTACTGTATATTCTCTATTGATTGCTGGTTTAATACTGTATACTGTACAGTATTCTAATGTATTAATTAAACTGGTCATGATTTTAGATTATACAGTACAATACTCATACCTAGTACAGGTACTGTATATTCATTAATAAATTACATTAATGATATCTAATTTTAATGTAATTATAGGTCCTACTCAGAGACAACTGATATGCTATGTTTACAGATGACGGAAGAAACCCTACGGCAACTTTTTGTGGTTGAGCCAGACTTTTGCCCTGCATGTGGTTCTATCCTTGTGCTGCCTCAGACAAGTGAGACTGTGGCATGTAGAGTTTGTACATTCAAGACACCAATTGACGGTATGTTTCTATTCTGTAAATTATATATAACCTGGTACTGGCACCATGTCAGAATGACTCGTGTATAAATTACCACCAAGTCTAGTTAGGCTCAAACTAGGAAACCCAAAATTAAGGCAACTGGGAGGTTTCCACCCTCTTTTACTTTATTTTGCACTTACAGAATTTACATCAACTAACAACCTCTGGTCCAGTAATTTTAAATTAAGAATGTGTAAAAAATAGTGCAAAATTTCTGCTTAGTGTAAATGAACAACATATTTAAAGTCCCCAAATATTTCCCTTTTTTATTCCATGGGGCGGACATTATGTTTTTAGAGGGTAAGGATACTTCACCATTCCCTAAAATTAAAATAATGAGGAGAACTGTAATACAAGACTGCATAGAAATAGAAAACCCATACAGATGACTTTGAAAACAGTTCTTTTTCAGGGCCAAAACAAATTGTGATATATGCAATTTTGTTCAAATTCTCAGTACAGATATACCCCGGGAGGTTTTCATGAGCATGCCGATTCTGAATCTATTATCAACAGTTTGATTGCTGAATAATTAGTGGTCTTAATGATGCTTGGAAGATTTTAATGACATTTTTCTCAATGCTTATTTCAGTACTTGCCAACTATTAGTTTCCAAGGTGATTGATTGGCGTTTTTATGTTCTTCTGAATGTACTTAATTACTGAAATTAATCCCACCAAATTTGAAATCTGAGAGAAAATCATATTTGGGTGAAAAACACATAAGGGTCCCACCTTACAGATTTTTTCAGGGGCCAGACGAAATGCAATTTATGCTATTTTGTTAAAAATCTCAGTATAGGTATACCCATGCATGCCGATTCTGAATCTATTATCGACAGTTCGATTGCGGAATAATTAGTGGTCGTAATGACGCTTGGATTATTTAATGACAACCACTAATTACCCCGCAATCGAATTGTGGACCTTATATTCGAAATCAGCATGCTCAGGAGTACCTATACTAATGTTATTTTCAACAAAATCTAACTTTGGGCCAAAACTGTCGAAAATGTAAGCCTTATACCATTGAAATTTTTCGACCAAAATATAATTTTCTCTCAGAAATGAAATTTAAGGGGTTTAACGAATTAAGTACTTACAGAATAACACATCAATACCAAAATCGCGCTTTGGAAATCCAAATTGGCCAGTAATTAGCATTGAAACATGTCATTAAATATTCCAAACATCATTACGACCACTAATTACCCCACAGTCGAATTGTGGAACATATATTCGAAATCAGCATGCTCAGGAGTACCTACGGGCCCATGAGAGGGCTCCACTGGGGCGCTGCCGCCGATAGGAGGGCCCCCCTATAGGTGCCGCCTCCCCTGTGATGGCCCCAAGTGGCGCCGCCGAATCTGGGAGGGTCTCTTGGAGCGCCACCGCCCCTTGGAGGGCGCTTGAGGGAACCCTTGACGGCGCCGCCGCCTCAAGGTGCGCCACAGCCCCTGGAAGGGATCCTGAAGGCGCCACAGCTACTGGCAGGGCCCCTGGAGATTCCACCGCCTTTGGGAGGGCCCATGGGGGCACCGCTGCCCCTGGGAGGGCCTCGGAGGGAGCCGTCGCCCCTGGTAGGGCCTCTAGGGAGCGATACAGACCCTGACAGGGTCCCTTGGGGTGCCGCTGCACCTGAGAGGGCCCCAGGAGGCGCCGCTACACCTTAGGAGGGCCCCTTGGGGCGCCACTGTCCTTGGGAGGGTCTCCGAGGAAGCCGCCACCCCACATAATCGAATCGTGGACTATATATTCGAAATCAGCAGGCTCAGGAACATCCTATACAGTATAGTCTTCATTTATGCGGTCAATTGAACCCGTGGGGGTCCGCGTAAAACGAGAAACGTTTAAACTTTTTCCGGCACAATACGAACGTTGTAGTAAAAATAACATCTTAATTTTATGATGGTATGCACACACAATTAATATTTAAGAGAAATATCAATAATATTAGGTTTTTAACACTTACGTTAGTAGAAAAGATGGCTGGGCACACGTGGATGGGGGGTTGGTTCCGAGGCAGAGGGCAGATTATTGGCCCTCACCTGTATCACTTGTATCAATTGTATCACTATCCACCACAGAGGCTTAAATTTTAATTCTGAGAAAAAAGTATATTTTGGTAAAAAATTTTGTAAGGTGTAAGACTTACATTTTTGGTGGTTTTTGGCCAAAAATTAGATAATGCTGAAAATCACAGTATGGGTACTCTTGAGCTTGCTGATTATGAATATGTGATCCACGATTCGATTGCAGAGTAATTAGTGGCCAAAATGACCCTTGAATAATTTTACTGACATTTTTCAATGCTAATTACTCATCAACTATGAGTTTCCAAGGTGTGATTTAAGGTTTGTGTGTTATTCTGAAAGTACTTAATTAGTTAAACCCCTTAAATTTCAATTCTGAGAAAAAAGTACTTTTGGTCAAAAATTTTGTAAGGTGTAAGACTTACATTTTTGGTGGTTTTTGGCCAAAAAATAGTTTTTGCTGAAAATCACAGTATGGGTACTCCTGAGCTTGCTGATTATGAATATATGGTCCACGATTCGATTGCAGAGTAATTAGTGGCCAAAATGACCCTTGAATGATTTTACTGACATTTTTCAATGCTAATTATCCGGTACTCATCAACTTTGGGATTCCAAGGTGTGATTTAGGGTTTGTGTGTTATTCTGAAAGTATTTAATTAGTTAAACCCCTTAGATTTCAATTCTGACTTAAAAGTATATTTTGGTCAAAAATTTTGTAAGGTGTAAGACTTACATTTTTGGTGGTTTTTGGCCAAAAATTAGATTTTGCTGAAAATCACAGTATGGGTACTCGTGAGCTTGCTGATTACGAATATGTGGTCCACGATTCGAATGCAGAGTATTTAGTGGCCAAAATATATAACAGTATTTTAACCGAAAACTATTTAAAAAACGAGTAACATCTCTTGAGCATCGGAAGGTTAGGTAAAGTCTTTTGTTTTCGTCATGTATTTTATCCTATTTTACATTGAAATACATCACGTTTCAGCAAAACTACTATTTATTTCTGAGAATATATTTATTGAGGCGCAGGTTAGGTAAAATATACATGTGATGTAACAGTTTTTTAACTGAAAACGATTCGAAAAACACGTACCCTCTAGCCCTGTTCAAGGAGAAGACTGGTAGGAGCTGTTTGGTGCTGAAGACGATGACAAGGAAAATGATTTTGATGGATTTTAATGAAAATATTCAGAAATATGGTATCGTAGTATTTATTCAAGTGAATTAGGATAGAATATTATTGTAATACAACAGTTTTTTAACTGAAAACCATTCAAAAAGCGATTATGGTAAAATCTTTTGAACAACGAAAGAAAGCGAAAGTCATTGTTTTCGTCATGATTTTATCCCACTTTCCACTGTAATACGTACGTCATTTCAGCAAAAATATTACATTTCCATATTTATTTCTGAAAATATATTCATTCAGTCACAGTTAAGGTAAAATATACTTGTGATGTAATATTTTAATGAAAATACCCGGTATTTAGAAATACGGTATCGAAGTTTTCTTTTGTTTCAAATTTAATTAACAAAGATTGATGTTTCAAATGTAATGAAAAAAAATTTAGGTATCTATAAATAAACTTTAAAAAATGAATACTTTATGTTTTACATCGTCCTGTGCTACCATACCATGCATTTGGCTACTTTGGGCTTGCTATGATGATGCAAGAGTTCTGCCCTGGCAAATGTACCGACACTCACAGCTGGTGGTGCGTCGTTTCCATTGTTTACTGGTAGTTACTGGTAAATATTTTTCAACCTAACGAAACTATTACCCGTTTAGAGGTCGACCCCCAATTTTTTGCCAAAAAATTTGGTCTTAAAAACTCGAACTACACACAGGTATATACGGTAAATAAGGACATGGGGGGCCAGGGGTGTTTTCGGGGGGGACAGCAAAAATACACTGATTCTTAACATTCACGGGAATCTCTGTTACCAACCCCCACGTATGTTAAGGGCCGACTGTATTTAGTGGCCAAAATGACCCTTGAAATATTTTACTGGCATTTTTCAATGCTAATTACTCATCAACTATGGGTTTCCAAGGTGTGGTTTAGGGTTTGTGTGTTATTCTGAAAGTACTTAATTAGTTAAATCCCTTAAATTTCAATTCTGAGAAAAAATTATATTTTGGTAAAAAAAATTTTAAGGTGTAAGACAGGGGTGTCAAACTCATGGCCCGCTGGCCAAATGTGGCCCTTGGGATGGTCAGGTGTGGCCCACGGGATGATGGTAAAATTTATCATCCGTGAAATTATGAAAAAAATAGATATAATCATGTTTATTTAGTAAAATGAATTTTACATACTTAAGATCAGACAAAACCAAATGAGGTATTCCTGGTAAGCCAGGTAAGGCAATGTGTGAAGCTGTAAACTTCAATCCTGCAAATATGTGATATAGCACTTGTGTTGGCCCTGAAGAGGGTAACTAAAATAAGAATTGGCCCTCGAAAGGTTTGAGTTTGACACCACTGCCTTACACCTTTGTAATTTTTTTGTCAAAATATACTTTTCACTCAAAATTAAAATTTAAGGGGTTTACTTACAGAATAACACATTAACACCAAAATCTCACTTTGGAAATCCATAGTTGGCCAGTAATTAGCATTGAAACACGTCATTAAATATTCCAATCATCATTACAACCACTAATTACCCCGCAATCAAATCGTGGACATATATTCGAAATCAGCATGCTCAGGAGTACCTACGGGCCCATGAGAGGGCTCCACAGGGGCGCTTCCGCCGATAGGAGGGCCCCCCTATAGGCGCCGCCTCCCCTGTGACGGCCCCTAGCAGCACCGCCGAATCTGGGAGGGTCTCTTGGAGAGTCACCGCCCCTTGGATGGCCTTTGAGGGAACCTTTGGCTTCGCTGCCTCTTCAGGGTGCGACACAACCCCTGGAAGGAGTCCTGAGGGCGTCACAGCTACTGGCAGGGCCCCTGGGGATTCCACCACCTTTGGGAGGGCCCATGGGGGCCCTGGAATAAGTCGCCGCCCTTGGTAGGGCCTCTGGGGGGCGCCACAGACCCTGACAGGGGCCCTTGGGGTGCTGCTGCCCCTGAGAGGGCCCCAGGAGGCGCTGCTACCCCTTTGGAGGGCCCCTTGGGGTGCCGCTGTCCTTGGGAGGGTCTCTGAGGAAGCCGCTGTCCTTGGGAGGGTCTCTGAGGAAGCCGCTGTCCTTGGGAGGGTCTCTGAGGAAGCCGCTGTCCTTGGGAGGGTCTCTGAGGAAGCCGCCACTCCCACAATCGAATCGTGGACCATATACAGTATTCGAAATCAGCATGCGCAGGAATATCTATAATGTGATTTTCAACAAAATCTAATTTTGGGCCAAAACTGTCGAAAATGTAAGCATTAGACCTTTGTAATTTGTCTACCAAAATATACTTTTCTCTCAGAATTGAAATTTAAGGGTTTAACTATTTAAGTACTTACAGAATAACACATTACCACTAAAATCTCGCTTTAGAAACCCATAGTTGGCGAGTTATTAGCATTGAAACATGTCATTAAATTTTCCGAGCATCATTACAACCACTAATTACCCTGCAATCGAATTGTGGACCTTATATTCGAAATCAGCATGCTCAGGAGTACCTATAATGTTATTTTCAACAAAATCTAATTTGGGGCCAAAACTGTCGAAAATGTAAGCCTATCAGGCATAATGATCCTTAATAAATTCTCTACTAAATGTTTCCAATAAGATTAAAAATTTTAGTAATTAGCTTAATACATTTGAGTATACACACACACACACACACACACACACACACACACACATACACATACACACAGGGGAATTGGTGGGTCTTATGACCTGAAGATGCCTTGAATGACATTTTTTACCGGAGGTATATGCATAGTACAGTACTATACTGTATTGTATATAGATGGTACAGGTATTTATAAGCACAGACTATTTAAGTAACGTATCTGCACTAATTAATGAAAAACAAATAAACAGTAGACACAGTGAGGAACCCTTTTGTAGGGGGGGGGGCAGGTCGCGGTTGTGGGGTATGGTTTGTTTGGGTTCACACTCAGGATGGGATGGAGAAAGGAAACTCACAATGTGCTCTCTGTATACTTGTTGTATTGGATGTACAATGCAGCTTGGTGCTGGGAAGTGGCAGCGTGGTTACAAGCGTGATGTAGAGTGAGCTGGTTGGTGAGGATGCTCAGAGGAGGACCAGCTTGTGGGTCGCCATGCTCTCCGGCGGGAGCGAGGACCGCCAGGCAGGCGGAGGAGGAGGAGGTGTTGCTGGCTGGTTGGTGTAGGTAGAAAAGAGAGTGGTCACCACGAGGTCAGGTCTTAAATAGCGGAGGTAGGCGTGGCTTAATAGTTGACCCCTGCTCCGTGGCGCGCTGGTTGACCTAGACCACGAGGCAACACTGTGGAATTCGCGGGGTCGGCTACTCAGCGACAAACAGCGTTTGTGGGAGAAATCACTACACGGTCACTTTTACCCCCCCTCCCCAAGGATCCTTCTCCCAGGAGGGAGATTATCTTAATACACTTGATTACACACACACACACACACACACACACACACACACACACACACACACACACACACACACACACACACACACACACACACACATGGGAATTAAGACTACAAGCATCCAGTGAGGGTCTTGTTGTGTGACTGCATGGAGGTGAATTAACAGATCAGCTGTTGTGGAGCTTATCGCTTGGCAACACTGGTGCATGTTACCACTCCATCTCTGCAATCAACCACATCTTTCTGCTTTCTCACTCCATTTTTTAAAATGTTATGTAATGTAACATTGAAGAGATACAACTTTGCTCCTTTATACTTATACTTATCACAATCTCCCTAAAAAATACTTTAGATTTTGTGTTTATTCAAGACATCTTCAGGTCATGAGACCCACTAATCCTCCAGCCAAGAAAGGTGACCTGATATTCCATCAGAAGGTCAGTACAGTAATATGAGATCACTAACGGTAATCCCCCACCCTACTTCCACCTGACATTGAGTCTGCCCAGGTCAGGTCCCCCCAAAAAAGAAAAATTTAACTTTCATCTTCAAGACATTTTCAGAAAATTCTCTCGATTTTCAACCTCGGAAATTTTTTCCCAAAGCCGGAATTTTTTTAGAATTCCGGCTTTGGGAATTATTTTCCGAGCAAATTTCAATTCCAGCTATCGGAAATTTCCAGGTTTGAGGGATTCCGGCTAACGGAGATATTACATATGCGATTTTGTTGACAATCTCTTGCAGATTTTTTCAGGGCAGAGACAAAAAGCGATATGTGCGATTTTGTTCAAAATCTCAGTATTACTGTACTCGCCAACTATTGGTTTCTGAGGTGATTGGTTGGTGTTTTTATGTTCTTCTGGACGTACTTAATTACTGAATTTAATCCCACCAAATTTCAAGTCTGAGAAAAAATCATATTTGAATGAAAAACTGGAATTTGATGTTGGTCCACTTCTAGCTTTCTTGAGTAAATACTGTAAAGCATCAAGGACCACTCTAAGTGCTTACATGGTGGCAAAGAATATTATACCCTCTCCCTTGTCAGGGTATCTTTATACCAAGTACCTCATCTATTGGATTATGGTGTGATAGTGAAAGATTTTTTCAATACAGCTGCTCCCCGACTTACGACGAGGTTAGGGACCGACATCCAGGTCGTAAGTCGAAAAGGTCTAAAGTCGGAAATGCTTAAATAACACATAGAAAATCGGAAATGGGGGGGGGGGTCTCTTTTTCTTCTCAGCACCACAAAACACTCACTTTTAAGCTTGCCAGCCATTTTAAAGTGAATTACAAATGAAAATTTTGTCTGTGTACTGACTTTGGGACTCGACAATACGTAATTTGACCAAATCCTGGTACGACTGAGGCAGGTCGCAAGTGGGGGAGTAGCTGTATTTGAATTTGTTTGAATTTAAGATTCCAAGTCACAAGTTTTGATCCTTGGGAACATGGCTTTCAGCTTTAGATGCTGGCTGTACAAGGTTAGCCTGTCCTGGCTCACTTAGAAAACAGAATTTTGGATCAACATTTAGTTTTCAACATAATGATAAGATTTACTTAACTTGAATTTTCTCTTCTTTAGATATTATTAATCGAGAGACAACTTACAAAGTGGACTTTGTTCAAAAGGGAACTTATCTAGTATCTAAGAAGAAGGTTGAAGAAGAGAGTGAACTAGGTCAAATGGATAATGACCGAGAGTGTAGTAAGTGTGGGAACATTGGTATGTCCTACACCACCATGCAGCTTAGATCAGCAGATGAAGGACAAACTGTTTTCTATATCTGTCCAAAGTGCAGGTAAGTTTGATATACAGGCATCATAAGATACCTCTTATTTTGGGTCTTCCTTCTCTGAATTTTCCTTAACCTTTAGAAATGCTGTTTGACTGCAGTCATACAAATCATGAATACAGGTATACATATACAGTACTGTACTGTACTACCTCACTATAGGCCGGACACGCCGTCTTGAAAAGTACGACATTAAGTGAAACAACATACTATACTTAATACAAGTTTACCAAAGACCTAATGATATAAATAGGGATTATGTTCCTGGGGGGACATTTCTGTTAAAAATTTTATTACCCAAATATTAATTAAATATGTAAATTATATTATTAAAAGTTGAAGTAGATCTAAAACATATGTCAGTAAGATAACATTTACTTGAGGCACAAATATCACTTGCTGTGCCTTTTCCACTCATTGTACAGAGTTTTGGAAAGGTTTTACCCAGTGTAAATGGACGAGGTAAAGCGAATGATGTGGCAATGTGTAAACTGACACTGGGAAAGGGGTGCTGCAAAAGAATTTGGCAGTTGTTCAGTATTCTAAGGCAATCCAAAGTAGCCTGCTCAGTTGCAAAAGTCAGGAATGGCTGGAGAATGTTTAGGGAGTTTATGTCTTTTTTGATGACAAGAGGACCTTCCCTCCATGTGAAAAAAAAAGAATGTATGCAGCTTATGTGAGAAGTGTGAAGTTGTATGGCAGTGAAACATGGGCAGTCAAAAAGGATGGAATAAACAGAATTGAGGGAGGTAAAACGAGAATGCTAAGATTGATATGTAATGTGTCAATGAAAGACAGGCCTTGTTGAGAGGTAAGAGAACGACTGGGTATTGATAGTATAGTACATGTATTGGCGAAGATTTGCTTAAAGGCAGGCTGAGATGGTCTGGGCATGGGAGAGTATGGATGAGACCAGTTGGGTCAAGAGGTGCATGAGCCTAAATGTGGAGGGGAGGAGAGCCAAGGGCAGGCCAAGAATCACCTGGAGAGAAGTTTTAAGAAATTACATTAGATTTATAACCAGAGAAGAGAGATTGCAAGAGACTGGGCAGTATAGAGAGCTGCCATCAGGTTATCATGGCTAGCCCATGCAAGCGTGGGAAATGGCCACCATTAAATGATGTTGTTGATGATTGGAGAATCAACACCCATTGGGAATGCAACTTGAAAATGAAGTACAGTACACATATGAAGGGTGTCTACTGGTATGGAAAACCTGGAAAGGGCAGGGAATTTTATTTGGGGCTGGAAAGGCCAGGGAATTTTATTTGGGGCTGGAAGCCAGGGAATTTTATTTGGTGCTGGAAAAACCAGGGAATTTTACAAATAAACCTGGAATTTAATGTGAATTCAGTTCAACTTCAAAATATTGTTATTTTGACAGCATTCTTACCATAAATTAATGCAGTACTATATAATAGGTAAATAATTAAACTTTTAGGAACAAATTCCAGTAAATAGTCCACTCCAATTGTTTGTGTACCTATCATATATCATCTTAGTGATCAAATAACCAAATAATAAAGGTTATACCACAAACTCTGCAATGAGTATTGTCAGAGATGAATTGTTCTTGTAATTGAGTGACTTTATTTAAGTGGATTATTCCACATATTAATCATGAGTCATATAGGTGGATCAGGAATGTGATTTTTTGGTTTTGCCGGATTTCCGACTTTTTTGGAATGTCCAAGTCGACCCAGGTAAATTGCACAAATCTGAGGAAAAAAATATGAAGGGGGCTGTCAAGGTCTTTGCTGATGTTCATTACTATAATGTGTTTTTCCCCTCCTCAAGAGTTACAGCTGATTGGGTGTTTGAAATCTGTCCGATTTCGTCCTGAAGTGATGATGTACTGTACAGTACTGTATTTCTAAATGAGTTTATTCATAATCGCTGGGATGACCGTTTCTGGCGAGAACGATATTTAGCGAAATTATATAAAGATAAATAAATTCATTATTTCAAACATAAGCATGTGGGAAGTTGATCAGAAATCTTATACATGAATTAACTGTTAAACTCTGGTAGCAAATTCGCGCTTTCAGAGGACGCATTAAATATATACTGCACTGTACTTATTTTTACCCACAATAAGGCATACTAAGACAAATTCCAAATCAGTATTACTACATTATGCAAAAACTATCATTTTAAAATATCAGAATCACATTGAAATATTACACTGCCTCTGAAAGTTGGTGGATGAGTGTGACAGACTGGGGACCTTGGCCGCTCTAACCATCAGCAGAAGCGGGAAATGTGAAGCTGTTCACAGTCATAAGAACATAAGAAAATAAGGAGTCTGCAATAGGCCGGTTGGCCTGTGCATGGCAGCTCCTGTCGAGAGTTACTACCACTCTATCATCCATGAATCTATCTAGCCTCCTTTTGAAACTTTCCAGAGTTCCCGCACTTACTACAAAGTTGCTAAGCTTGTTCCACTCGTCCACCGCCCTATTTGTGAACCAGTTTCTTCCTATCTCCCTCCTAAACCTAAACTTATCCAACTTGAATCCGTTGCTCCGAGTCCTATCCTGCTCGGATATTATAAGAACTTTATCTATATCCCCTTTATTGATTCCTTTCACCCACTTAAATACTTCTATCATATCTCCCCGCACTCTTCGTCTTTCTAGGGAATGCAAGTTAAGTTTCTTTAAACCTATCCTGATATGGAAGGTTTCTAAGTCCCGGAATCATTTTTGTCATTCTTCGCTGCACCGATTTTAGTGAATTTATATCCATTCTATAATAGGGGCACCAGAACTGAACCGCATAATCGAGGTGCGGCCTGACTAGCGCAAGATATAGTTGCAATAAGACCTCTGCACTCTTGTTACTTACACTTCTAGATATAAGACCCAATACTCTGTTTGCCTTATTTCGAACATTAACGCACTGTTTTCTAGGCCGTAGGTCCGGGCTTACAAGTACCCCTAGGTCTCTTTCACAAGTCGACTTCTCTAGGTTGATGTTGTTAAGGCTGTATACATTATAAGTATTTGTTCTTCCAATATTAAGTACGCTGCACTTGCTGGTGTTGAATTTCATTTCCCACCTCTGCTGACGGCCGTGTAATATTTCAATGTGATTCTGATCTTTTAAAATGTTAGTTTTTGCATAATGTAGTATTACTTGTACTGATATGTAATTTGTCTTGGTATGCCTTATTGTGGGTAAAAATGACTATATTAAATGCGACCTCCGAAAGCGTGAATTTGTTACCAGAGTTTAACAGTTAATTCACGTATAAGATTTCTGATCAACTTTCTACATGCTCATGTTTGAAATAATGAATGTATGTATCTTTATATAATTTAGCTAAATATCTTTCTCGTCAGAAATGGTCATCCCAACGATTATGAATAAACTCATTTAGAAACACATCATTATTTCGGGACGAAATTGGACAAATATGCAATAGCCAATCAGTTGTAACTCTTGAGGAGGGGGCAGAGTATCTCTTCTCAGCTGCGAAAAAACGTACTATAGGCTTGGGGTGGGTCACAAAAGGGTTTCAATTTCTTGATTAATATCATTTATATCATCTTCAATTTCCCCAATAGCATATACATGTTATTGAAAACTTATAATTTTGATTCTGTATTCTGTCGTAATAAGTACCGAATTAATGTACAGTGATCCCTCGGTTAACGAGCGCCTCGGTTTACGAAATTTCGGTTAACGAATTACTTTCCATAAGATTCTTCACTTCGGTTAACGAGCAAACCCTCGGTTAACAAATTCCTTACGAATTTTTCCCAACATGTTTTCGCCAGCATTTGGCTGCCCACCAGCTGTAGTATTAGTCCGCCAATACAGTAATCGGTTTTAGGGCTTAAATTCCTTACCATTTTAGTAAATATCAAGAAGGTTGTACTATTCAATAATTTTAAAAGTTTTATATTAAATTTTTTAGTCATTTTAACAATTATTGAACATAATTGAAGTACTGTACAGGAAACTTGTTTTTTGCACGCCAAACAGCCACTCAACACACCAAGCTTGGCGTCAGTTTGTTTACCAGTTCAGAGGAAGAAACATCTTGTTTGAGTCTCTTTAACATAAATGCTTTTTTTGTGTTTCCAGTCAAATTATTGGTCATTTTGATATATATTTTACATATTGATAATATAAAGTGCAGTGCAGTGTTGATTTAAAGAAAATAATCTTGAATTACACCAAGTGAACTAAAATTTTATGGGTGAAATGGCGGCATGGGGTGACTTCTCTTCCACCCCCACTGCCTTCTCTTCTCCCTTCTCCTCCACCCCCATTCTAATTCCCATCATCATCAACCAGGAGCCTTCTACATGCACACCTCAAAGTAAGTGTACTTTACTGCATTTATTTTTGGTTTGTATGTAATTTTCGGTGAGCTGGAACCAATTACCCAAAAACCCATTGAAACAATGGTTTCGGTTAACAAATTTTTCGGTTAACGAGCAACCTTCTGGAACGAATTGTGCTCGTTAACCGAGGGACCACTGAACTGTACCTGGAATTTTTTCAAATTTACACCTGGCAAAGCCAGGGAATTTTATTTTGTCTGGCCAGTAGACACCCTGATATCCATCTGTGCAAATTTTCATCCATACATTCATATGTAGTTTTGGAGAAGTGTGCAAATTCATGTGAAAATTTATCCTGTTTGTGTGTGTGTGTACACACACACACACACACACAAACACACACACACACACATCAAGGAGGACCTGCCTTATCTATTTATGTGATAAACAATAAAATCGATACATAGCATATATTTTATGTACAAAAATTAGTTCCTTCCACACTCAAACCATCCTTTAGGCAACATGACACAATTCAGGCAGTCACCCAGCTGACTCACAAATGTGAGGCCGCCACACTACAGTATATAACTATGTGTATGCAGTCACATCGGGAGGGAGGGCGGTCATACAGTCATAGCCCAGTAACCCACCAAACCCACTGCCTCAACACATTCACTTCCCACATATACACACCCATACTCTTCATTTTTCTTATTTTATAGTTTCATATTATGGTATATTTTCTTTATAGTTTTATATATTTTCTTTATTTATAAACCACATTTGAGTATTGTAGATTTTCAACAACTTTTATAGTTTCATTATAAGTAGCAATATACAAGGCGGCTTAGCTGGCGAATCGGTGATGTAGTTATAGCCCACTGTCTCCATACATGTTCACGTCCCACACCCATGGTCTTCATTTTTCTTATTTATAGTACAGTACTGTACTGTATTATATTTTATTTATTTTAAGCTACATTAGAATGCGTATTGTAATGACTTTTCGACAACTTTTATAGTTTCATTACATATAAAAATAAGCACGGTGGCTGGGCTGGCGAGTCAGCGACACAATCACAGCCCACCGTCTCCACACTCATTCACTTCCCACACATTCACACCCATGTCCTTATTTTAAAAAAGTCCGTTTTTCTGGAGATAAGTAACGAGGTCAGCCTGTAGCACTGCATTTTAGGCTTTATTGGGGGATCCTAAGAGTGAGGTTCAACTAACTGGCACCTCTCAATCCCTGTTCATGCTGGGTAACTGGGATTCTACTGTATAATGTACAGTATATCTTTCTTCCTATACTGTACTTCGAGAAGTATATTAAGAATTTCACTGAACGTCTCATCAAGAAAAATAAAAAAAACAATCAACAGCTCTCTTTATATACAGTACTTGTCATTGTCACACATAAATTCTTAATACATGTACACAATAGTTTAGATAAGAAAATTAATACAAATACAAAATAATTTTGTAAGTATCGTACATATACAGTATTGGGTTTTGTAAACAAACATCGGAGGCGGCGGTGACTATCATAAAACTGATCTTAGCTATCACATAGTGGTAAATGGTGTTAATTTTTAACATTGTAAAACTGTTCGATATTACTGTATATAGATCCATTGTATACCTCTCAACACCTGTACTAAGTTAATACTAGGATTCATCCTAAACTCATATTGATAAAAATAACCTATCACTAGGAATACAATCTACTACTACCTGTGGAGTGTTCGGATACAAATCAGTGAAGCAGCTTTCACCCCCTACTTCCCTTGACATTACTTTAACCCCCTACCTCCACGGTCTGTAACTTCAGTATAGTCTCGTTTTACGCGGTCAATTAAACCCGTGGAGGTCCGCGTATAATGTGAAACGCGTAAACAAAATAACAACATATGGGATTAATTGAAATAGAGACTGGGCCGACCTCCAGATTACCCTTTTTCCAACACAATACGTACGTTGTAGTAAAAATAACATCTTAATTTTATGATGGTATGCACACACAATTAATATTTAAGAAAAATATCAATAATATTAGGTTTTTTAACACTTACGTCAGTAGAAGAGATGGCTGGGCACACGGGGATGGGGGGTTGGTTCCGAGACAGAGGGCAGATTATTGGCCCTCAGGTGTATCACTATCCACCACAGAGGCTAGCAGGGCCTCCTTGTCAAACCCCTCAAATTGCATATCCTCGCTATCACTGACTTGGGCTGGCTGTGGTGGGTGGCGGGTGAAGAACTCGGTAATGTTTTGTTGACTGGGCAAGTAAGGTTAAATAGACCAATTACAGCTCGCGGCAGAGGGGATGCGTGGGTAGTAAGGATGCATGGCCCAATTACAGTCCGAAACGTCATCTGACGTCAGCGGTGACATAAGAACGACCTAGCGCGCAGCTTGTCCACGCCGCTTCCCGCGTAAATTCAAGAATGTACCGCGTAACTAATAATTGGCGCGTTTGGACAGGTGCCGTGTATAAAAAAATCTGTGTAAACCGAGACTATACTGTATAGTATTTCCACAATAACGTGGCTAAAATAATGTTAAATATCAGGACTATCAAAATGTAAATGATTTTATGGCATTAGCACTTCAGAGAGGATGTTAGAAAATGTTTATATATATATACTGTATATCATAAAAGGTTAAAGGTGAAATTCGCTTTTGAATGAAGCTTTTTCATTATTTCTTTGTTTTGTACCAAACAGAAATAAATGATACCAAACATAACACAATAGGTAATGAACTACAATTTCTACCTATTGTGCTGTGTTTTATCATTTGTTTCTGTTTGCTTTATGTTTGGTACTAAACAAAGAAATAATGAAGACTTCATTCAAAAGTGAATTTCACCTTTGACTTTGACCTTTTATGATATACTATATTAAAAATTTTCTAACACCCTCTCTGAAATGGTAATGCCTTGAAATCATTTACCATTTGATAGTCCAGATATTTAACATTATTTTAGAGAATAACAGGTCTGCTTACCAATTGTGAACACATTTTGTTTAAATAAATGGACAGCTACACGAAAATTTTCTATGAACCAATCGGCTATTTTTATAGAAGAGGGGCGTGGCTTATACAGGCCAGGTTAGCGTGGAAATGCTATTAGTGGTAAATTACATAGCACTAATCTTGACCATTTAACCAAAACTTTCCCAGTGTGTGTGGAGTTCGTATAATTTTTCATCCCGTGATTATTATACCAATTGACACCGCATTCTTAGATGAGAAACATTCAGACTAACTGGTCTCTTATTCTCACAGACAATCATATTTGTCTTTTGTGCCAGTCAATTATTTAGTTTTTGTTATTTACTTTTTTTTCTATTACTCTTTACTGATAAAACTAACATTACAACTCTTTAAACTTATTAAATATATTAAAGCTTACAGAGCACAGGCTGGAAAATCTACTTCATTTCTATGGAACTTAGCTCCTTTCAACATGTTATGTTACAATTGTAGTAGTTGTAAGTACATAAACTTATTTTAGAGATGTTTCCCATTACAGTATACAGTACTTACAAAAGATCTCCTCCATCCTCTACCTAGCTGATTTATTACTTATAGGTCATTAATGAAGGACCGAGATGTTAATTCACATTTAATGATTTACATGAAAATGATTGACCTGGTTTTCCTCCTTCCTCTCCAAATAGAGTTCATATTGGCTGGAAATGACAGGGTTGAAGGGTAAAATTTGAATGATGGAATTTGCATTTTTGAACATGGATTTTTATCTTAAGGCAACACTAGTTCTCAATTGAATACAGTATACAAGAAGCACCATTTTATATTTTCAAGCTCTGATTTGACTTTGCAAGCAGCACTACCATTGCTTACTCCGAAGATTTACCTTGCCATTTAACATTTCTCATTTCAATCCTTCATTATTGTAATTTTTTTGTTTTACGATACAATAATTGCTTAAATTTTATTTCAGACACAGAGAAGTGGAGAATTCTTAACCCCAGGGATGAATATACTTGAGCAATACTGTATATTTTCATCATTATAATAAAGGTCTGTTAATCTACAGTCTTTCTATATGCCATGTAAATAAATTATGTATTCATCTTTGGTACAGGTATTTACTTTTTTAATATCAAGTATGGTTGGATTTCATGTTGAAATTCAGCCAGATACATCTGAATATGTTCATACAGTGGTCCCTCGTTTAACGAACGGTTCGGTTAACGAATTAGCTTCCATAAGAATCTTCAATTCGGTTAACAAACAAAAATTTGATTAACGAAATCCTTACAAACATCACATTTTGTTGTGAGCATCAGCTGATGGGCTAGTCTGCCAATTCAGTAATCTGTTCTACAGTATGTTTGCATTTGTTTCCAGTGGAGTAAATATCAATAAAGTTGTGCTACTTTAATATTTTTGCATTTTTTATATTAAAATTATTAGTAATTTTAACATTTATTTAACATACAGTGAGTTCTGCTATAACGCGTTTTGATAACGCGAATTTGCTCTAACGCGATTTTTGCTTACCATTTCTCCAATTTTGTGCTATTAACTGTGAATATGGTAAAGAAGAATATCTCCAAAAAGCGTTCTGATGATAGAATTCCCAGTGATTATCGTAAAAGAAAGGATATAACACTTGAAGAGAAGCTCGATGTTATCAACCTCAAAATCACCCTTCTCCCCCATCAAGTTACATTCATATTTTTTCAAGGTAAAGTGTTACATTTACTGTATGATTTCATTATTAGATATGAATGTAACATTTATTTAGACTGTGCTATCCTTTGTGTTAGGCCAACTACTAAATTTTTTCGATTTCGAGTAATCTGCACCTAACCCTATTTTCTCCATAAGCCCTGTTATTTCTATTACGCGATTTTCTATAACACGATATTTTACAAGAACACAATTATCGCGTTATAGCAGAACTACCTGTACTGATAATATATGCAGTACAGGGAACTAGTTTTTTGTGCACCCATCAGCAGCTTGACTTGGCCACAAGGCATCAGTTGGGCTCTGTTGACAGTGGAGTGAGCATATATTTTGTTGGTGTCGAATATTTTTGCATTTTACATTAAAATTATTGGTCAATCTGAAATTTAGTTAACATATTGATAATATATAGTGCAGTGTTGATTTAAAGAAAATTATCTTGAATTACACCTAGTGAACTTAAAATTTTATTGGTGAAATGACGGCATCCAGCATGGGTCCCGAGAGGCGATTTCTCCTCCATCCCCACTTCCTTCTCTTCTCCCTTCTCCTCGACTTCTAATTCCCATCATCATCAACCAGGAGCCTTCTACATACACACCTCAAAGTAAGTGTACTTTACTGCATTTTTTTTAACTTTGTATGTACTTTTCGGTGAGCTGGAACCAATTACCCAATATCCCATTGAAACAATGGATTCGGTTAACGAACGACCTTCTGGAACGAATTGTGTTCGTTAACCGAGGGACCACTGTAGTCGAGATATATAGAAAGGTTATAGAGGATAATTAAAAACAATATAGACAAGCTAACAATATTTCTTTGTAACATAACATTGAAATATAACATATTGCATTTAACCAGAAAAACTGGCTCAATATAATTGCTTTACCACTGCAAATATCTGTTCCTCATTTAACAATAACTCCATTATTACCAAATAAATCCCAAACTGATTGAATAATAAACTAAAGAGGAAGTAAAATGTTTACCAAAAGAAACGGACTGACACAAAGTAAATATAATACAAATGCAATATACTTCATTAAGCCACTGGTAATGTAAATCATAAAATAATTGTTCATTAAAAAGTCATTAAACATGGAAGTTCTCTATTGAGTACAATCTTACATAAAAATAAATCTTTATCTTAAATCTAGATAGCAAAATTTCACAGGGTATCCAACTACCCATTTCCTCCCTGTTGCCTCTACTAACAAATCTACAAGATAAATAGTATCAAAACTTATTAGTTTATCCCAAAATTAAGTGATATTAGTTCTGAGCATATATCCTGTATAAACAGCCCTACCCATGAATTTGATCCAGCTTAATTTTTACAACAACAATAACACTTTCAATTAAGGCCAAATAAAGTATTTTAGGTTTTGGTTACATTGTTTTATCAATGCAATCTTGCAATCTTTATGGACCTTGGTTCTTATAAGTTAAAAAAATGTACATAAGGATCATAAAGAATAACCTAATGAAGAATCCCCACATAAGCTATAATTTTTAGGTAAGATAACAGTAAGGCAACTTCACATTTTACTGTGCTTATCCCTTAGATGAAAAAAATTCTTTATAAGTAGAGTATAACCTTTGTTTTTTGTTTTTTTTAAGTGAGGGTAACCAGAACTAATTATTAGTTCCCGGAATGAAAAGGTGTTACACAATGAAATAATTTTGGCATAATAATTTGGGTATTGATGCACAAGAAAAAAATAGCTGGATCATGGGAACATAACCACGGGGTCTTCAATGCCAGTTGTCAAGTGTAAATGCCACTTTTGGGTATGTAACTTGGCCGCCACATACACTAGCAGCAGAAGTGGGTGTGTTCAAGGTATGGGAGCTGGTATTTCTTTCAAATAGTGAAGAGGCACCATCAGAAAGACAACGTTTAGAAGCTGTTGCACAGGGAATGGTAGGGTGACCAGGAGTAGGGGTCTGACTACTAAAATTGCTGGTAGAGGTAGGGGTGGTGGAATTGTTGGTCAACTGGGTAGAAGAGATTTCACTTGAATAGCTTGGATAGGTGGAGGGGGATGACCCAACCAACTGTGATGATGATGGCCATGGGTAGTGCTGCCACCGATTTCAGGAAAGAAGAGCACGGATTTCCTTATGTACATGACAAAGGAAGTCAACATAGCTTGGGGCACCATACATGCCCTTGTCCTCAACCAAGTAGTTCCGCATTATTACCTCATGTTTACTTTGCTGTGGAACTACAAACATCTGTGGGAAAAATAAAATTAAAATATATTAATATTCAGTATACTGTATAACAAATATAGAGTACACCTTCCCAATACCAGACTAATTTGTTGCAAGCCCTATCCATTTTTAGGATGATTTCATCAATAGAAGGGTTTCTTTTCCCCCACTCCTGACCAAAAAAATGCAAACCCTGTATGGCACTGGCACTGTTTATTATTAGTAAAGTATAAAGAAATTCATCTTCAATTACTTCCTCGAAGCATATTTTATTAACTAGTAATATACTATTAATATCTCCATTAGTCAGAATCCCTCTTAACTGGAATTCTCCAATAGCTGGAACTGAAATTTGCTAGGAATTTTTCTGAAAAAATTCTCAATTCTGGGTTTGGGAACAAATTCTGAGGTTGAAAATTGTGTGCATTTTCTGAAAATTCAAAGAAATTTTCTGGAAAATCCCCCCAAAATTTAATTTCTGGATATAGGAATAAATTTTCAGGGCATTCCAAAATATTGCATCATGCTACAACACATCCCCAAGTGCCAGGCACGTGGGTGACCTAGCTGTTTCGATCGCATATTTCATATTCTGCTGCCATTGTAGAAGATTGTTCCCTCGCTAGCTGCAGTTTGTGTACAATTTGTGTTGTGCAGTGCTGTATATTACTGTACCAGAACAAAATCAGCCAAGAATCCAGTGTTAAAGCAGTTTTAAGAATATAAAGGGATTACAGTCATGTATACAGTACTATACTGTACATTCATTAAATGGGAAACACTAGAGCACCGTACCTTTTGTCTTTACATGTATTCAAGACATCTTCAGGTCATAAGACCCACTAATCTCCCACCCCTACAATAGGTGACCTGATTTCGCATCAAGTCAGGCCAGTAACATGATCCACTAATCTCCCACCCAACTTCCATCACAATGTTAAGACATGATTACAATCAAGTGTTACAGTCAGCTGAGTGAACAGTATATGCTGGTGAGTACATTACATACAGTATAGTAGTACAGTAATACAGTAAAGCCCCCGATAACGACTGTTCAACTAACGAAGATTCATATTTAAGACCCTGGTTAATTTAGAACCCAATTCAATTTACACCATTATTAAAATTAAAAAAAAAATATATATATTACATTTTCGTATAAATAATATAATAACTAAATCCCAATAAAAAAAAAAAAAACCACGCCTTGCGCACGGAGGCTGCCGGGCTTGTAAGTGGCGACACCAGCATCACTAGTAAACAATCTCAGCTGGCGGGCCCTTTGTTTTCACGCATCTGAACAGGAAATGGAGAAAAACTTTCTCAGGTTTCTTACAGCATTTTTCAATCCCTATTCAACATGAGCAAGTGAGCAAATGATGGTAGTGTTGTTTCAAAAGCCAATAGAAAGTGTATAAGCTTAGCTGAGAAATTAGATGTGTTAAAACGATATGAAACAGGCGAGAGGTCTGTGGATATATGGAGCAAGCAATGAACATATTTTCTGAAGTGGATCCATTAACAGAACAAAGCATTAAAATTTCAATAAACGTAAATGATCTCTACATAAAGATGTATAATGAGAAAAGAAAGCAGCTGTGCAAGATTCTTTCAACAGCTTTATTATTCGAAGGCCTAGGTCATCAAATTCAGTATCATAAGCAGCTTCAACAACAACTTCATGTTCAGTAACAGTTTCAGCAACAGCTTTATGGAAAGCTACAGCTTCAGTCAGAGTTGAACCTGATGACTTTGTCACCTGAGTAAAAACTTGCACAATATTCATTGGCTGTCCTTATGTTTTAGACTTTACCACCATTGGTGAGTAGAATTTTTGTTTTACATTACTAAATATTATTTAAAACATATATGAACAGTAATTAAGTGTTGCTTTCATATTCATATGTAGAGAAATGACGTTATGTTTTCACATGTACGCACTTACTGTCCATACGTTGGCGTTCCCAATCGTCTCGCTTTATTTATTTACCATTAGTGGTTAGCTACTTCTAGTGTTCCATTTATTAACATTAAATAACATTACTTAAAACATACAACCAGGGTCTTATTTTCTTCAGTTTCTTATGTAGAACCATCGTCACTCACGAAAACAATGCCGCCTTGTCTCCCCGTGTGTGTTTTAATAGTATTATTAATGAATTGCATTGTTCATTTCACATATATAAACATTAATTCAATCAAATACATAGTCAGTAATAAACAATAATGAATCTTTAGTACGTATTCTTAAGATAAATGACTGTTTCCTTGGGTGCGCACGTATACATTGACGTTCCACTATCAGTCTCACTTTTTTCTTTAATATCAGTGGTTATTCCTACTGTACATTAAATAACATTAATTAAAACACATATATTTTACATTAATTCTTCTACAAAAACAACCAGGGTCTTATTTCTTCAGTTTCAGGCAGATAACTGACATTATGGGTGTAAACACTGACAACAATGCCGTCTTTTATCCTCTTCTGTGTTTTAATATTCTACGTATTAATGAAATGTATTGTTCATTTCGCATATATAGAGATTAATTCAATCAAATACATATTCAGTAATAAACAATAATGAATTTTTTGTACATATTCTATAAACAATAATGAATTTTTTGTACATATTCTTAAGATAAATGACGCGGTATCCTTAATTGCGCAAGTATATGTTGGCGTTCCCAATCCGTCTCACTTTTTTTCTTTACCATTAGTGATAAGCTACTTCTATTGTTCCATTTATTAACATTAAATAACATTACTTAAAACATATATATTCAATTTTTTACATTAATAGTACTACAGCTCCAACCAGGGTCTTGTTTTATTCATTTTCTCGTGTAGAACTATCATCCCAGCCTCCCGGCTGTAAGCGAAAACAATGGCGTCCCATCTCCTCTTGTGTGACCATATTATTATTAATTTATACTGTATAAGGTGCATTCAGAAACATTATTTAAAGAATATAGTTTGCAATTTTCATTAATTGTATTGTTTTAGGGGGAAAAGAGTAAAAAGCCACACAAAAGATATGAAAAGGTCACACTTGGGAACGCATCTCACTATTATTGCTTTATTTTAATGGTAATTAATGATTCGCGATACGATGATTCACCTTACACTGCAATAATGGAGGAAACATTACCACCGTTATTCGAGGCTTTTCTGTACTATCGTGGACAAAAGTTCGCTCCCTGTAGTGAAACTGAGACACGGGAATGAGTCTCCGAACTGGCTTACCCTGATTGTTATCTGGTGCGGGTGTGCTGTGCGGGTCGATACTGCTTCAGTTTGGGAAGGAGCGAACTTTTGTCCACGATAGTACATTATTTTGTTTACAGTAAGAACAATTTTGAACGTTTACATTGGTGTTTGCATAAATAAATAGAGCTCCTGTGAGATGCATCGTTTAGATGTGGAAATTTTTCAATAAAGCATGGAAAATACCACTTGTCTTTGCTGTAACACACAACTTCATTTATGCCCGTATCATATAGAGCTTCTTTTTTTTTTTAATAAATTTATTTACCCAACTTTTAGATAAAGTATTGAGGATTACTGTATTTTGGGGGAAGAATGGGGTGTCTAACTTAATTAGAACTGATTTTATTGACTCCAGTATCAACATTTCTTACTTTTTTCTTTTAAGTAAATGAATGGAATCCCCATTACATTGTGTTGAAATACTTTGTTTAAGGATATCTTATTGGAAATGTCTCGAGAATTTATTCAGAATTGTTACGGTATCAAATTCATCTCTCTTACCAATTAGAAGTTTAGAACTAATGCTGTGAGGGAGGGAGGGAGGGTCCATTAGAGGGAAGCAAAGGCTAACAACAATCATATTAAGAAAATACAAAATATGGGTTAATGGCCATTGCAAAACATCCGATCAAAATTGGCTAGCACACACCCATTGACAATTCTTTACTTTGAAGTGCATCTTTTAAGCTGAAACACAAACTTAAGTTAAATCTATAAACACTGCATGTAAAGTATCAACCCCAAGACCCATTTTTTCTTAGAAAATCAAAGATGTATAAACTGAAGCATAAAGTAGAAAGTCAGAGCTGAATAAATTTAGGGATATTATGAAGAAACACCAAGCAAGAAGTTAATTAAAGGGTTTCACTCCATTAAAAGCTGGTTTACATACAACAGTGATAATTGGGCAAAATTTGATTTTTAAACATGACTGGAACAATCATGACCAAACCAGAAAAGACCTATTAACTCTCAAATCCGCTTAACAAAATCTGGTTAAGAGATATCTTAATGCATCATAAAAATAACTAAAAAGTATTGATGTTCTTGTGTCTAAACCATACAATTTTCATCATAAATTTAAGTGACAATACGTAGGTAACTACAACTAATTAAAAGAAAGAAAAACTAACCCGGACATGTTTTTTCCTTTGAGCACGAATTGCAGCAGTAATTTCACGCACTCTTTTTGATGTGGGATTATCAATATCAGGTAATTCTGCCATTACTGGGTCCAGTTGATGTGGAGCATTAACCCCAAACACATCCATCAGCCATGTTGCAGGGGTGTTTGATCCAACCCAAACAAACATCTGTACACCATTCTCCAGCAAAAAGACACCTTCAGGGTGAAGTTTGTCATAGGATGTACGTAGAGGTGCAGGAATCCCAGTGTTCTGTAAAACCCAAAAATTTGGTGAAAAAATAAAATAAAAATGCTTAAGGTACAGTAGTTATAAAATTTTACTTGGATAGATTATGTGCTACCATACTTTGTCAGTCATACTACACTCCCACGATCTTCATTACATATCCACATCATCTCCAATGCACACCCACATAGTCTCCACTAAACATTCACATAATCTTCACAACAAATTCACATCATCTCCACTACACACACACACAATCTTCACATTCACATCATACAGACTCTTACCCAACCACTTCCTCTCACATTACACAACCTCCAATGCACGTGTTTCCGTTTTTAGTTTAAACCAAAATAAACATAACTGGAAAAATCGCCAAATGCGCTATTGACAGCCACTCACTGACTCAACACATACATTCACCTCCCACACAAAATACAGTACAGTACACATGTTCTTAATTTTTTCTAATTTCTTAGTTTTATATATTTTCTTTAGTTCTAGATCACATTAAGAGTAGTGAAATTATTTTTCCACAACTTATATTGTTTTTTGCATATAATAATGGCAACATGCGAAGCCATCTCACAGGACACGCTGACTAATGACGTGTTATGTTTTGGAGTTGTGCACTTCGTTCTGATTGACTGAAATCAAAACAAAAACAATGGCGATGCATTCTTGATGAATTCCATTAGTTTTCTTTGTTTATTTTTATTATATTTTTAACTTCGAGTGGACTGGGATTCATTCTCCTATCTCAGATACAGTACAGTATTATATATAGAAATTAAAAACTATTTACCTTAACGAACACAATATAAACTCATACATATACAGTAAGCCAGTGGTCTCCAACCTGTAGTTCTCAAGTGTTATGGCACCTGCGGAATCATATTATGGAGCCCGCAAGGGTTTATTAGAATTTTTTTAATTATTTGGGATTCTTTGTAAGAATGAAATTAACAAAAATGTGTAATAACTTGATACAACTTTATAGTTGAAGGGGGTTGGGGGGGAGAATGCGCATTTGTCCCGAGTGTGTCATGTACAGGACGAGGGTATTTACCCCAGAGAGGGAGAGCCAGCCTTCTCACTAGGGTAAATACACATGCCCTGTCCAAGAGTAAATGTAAAAAGTATGTAACTAGTAACGGACATGCAAAACTGAAAATAACTGTACAGTATGAGATTTTTTTTATTGAAGTTTTGGCAACCTCCACAATACAGTATTTGCATTGATAACTGTAGCTCACAGCCTACAAAAATTTGGGGACCAGTGCGTATTCCTACAACGCGGATTCACTTATGCATACAAAAATAAATGCGACTAATGTATTTGCTGAACACGGAAAATTGAATTTTACACAGCTCGTTAACGCAAAATGGCTCCCTCTCGCATCTCATGTAAGCTGTAGTCGGGCAAAAGAGCTGTGCTGTCCATGTTGATATACTTTTTACTCTTTTTACTGTTTTTGGGAAGAAACAAACCCTTAAACAGTATGGCTCCTTAATGTACATCACCTGTATCTTTAAGTGATGGTGGAGTAAAGAAAAAAAAAAAAAATTTATAAGATACAAAGTGGCATGGATGCAGTAGCTCGCCCGCCTCGTATGTTGTTAACTTGTAGTGAAACTATAAAAGTCGTGGAAAATTCATTACAATACTCTAATGTGGCTTAGAAATAAAGGAAATATAGTATAAAACTAGTATAAAATAAGGAAAATGAAAAGCATGGGTATGTATGTGCGAGAAGTGAACGTGTTAAGCAAAGGCCTTGGTTTTAACCACGGCGTCGACTCACTAGCCTTGTATATTGTTACTGTATTTGTAATGAAACTTTAAAAGTTGTGGGAAATCATTGCAATACTCTAATGTGGCTTAGAAACAAAAAATATATAATATAAAACTAAAATAAGAAGAAATGGAGAGCATGGGCATGTGTATGTGGGGAGTGAATGTGTTGAGGCAGTGGGTTATGGCTACATGTAACTGTGTGGCTGCACTCCTCCTATGTGACGTCATGGCATACACACAGCCAGCATGGCACGGTGGAAGCCACACATGTGTGTCAAGTAATGAGAATTTATGTGGTGGCATTCTCTAATTCTTATGAATCTCATTAACTATTAAGTTCCTCAAATGTGGAACCTAATCCCCAGGTTGAAGGGGGGATTACTGTACTGTATGATGTTTTTGTCTTGTGTTACCAAGATCTTGTGACAATAAACTGGACTAAAACCACAAAACTTTTTTCATATATACCGAACAAAGTTTGATATTGAATTAATTTTTTTTATTAATTTTATGCCAAACACCTCCCTATACTGAACTGGCTGCTCACCAATTACTGTATTTCGGTAGAAATGTAATACTGTAATGATGTAATATGGAAGAGGAAAACAATATCCAAGGTAATAGAATAAATTATGAGAGCATATGCAGAGAGCACAAACACATGACAATATTAGTAAATACTGTATTACAATTAGTCTCATATATTCAATTCAATTTTCCATCCTGTTTATTTTCAGTGCTCTTTCATCATTAAAAAAATTCACAAAAACCCTTACCTGTGGATCATCATCAGAAAGTGGAATGAGTCTGGGATAGAGATATGGTACAGAAGCGTCAACTGACATTGTTGATAAGAAATACATCTGCCAGGAGCGCTCATCACAAGGGATGTCCTGCCCTCCACTAATTGCATCACACTTGCTGAGGCAGTTAACATACAATGGCAACAGTTTCATCAATTCTGGTAAAATAAGTTGCCCAGCAGAGGATGGGGATGCACAGTTTTTACGGTAGCAGGCTAGTATATTGGCAGTCTTGGCAATCAAATTTTCTTTTACCTGAAAAAAATAAACAAAATTTGTGAGTGACTGATTGGAACGGCACAGAAAATATGTACAGCAGCCACTGTAAGTTTGTCTTAAGTTCATGTTTAAATATTGGAATAAAGCATATAATAAGATTACCATTAAAACTGTGTGTACAGTATTAACATTCAGGTACCTATACTGGTAGGGGCTGTCACCACATCCCCAATGAACAGAGTGCAGTCAGTCGCACAAATATTCATATTAATTTTAGATTTCTGAGCTATTTTTGGGCATACATAATTTTTCATTTGCATGTATTTGTATGTACAGTACTGTATAAGATTGATTTATGATATTATAGACATCAAATAATAAATAATGAATAACGGTAAAATTGTCATTTAGAAGCGAGTTTGTTGATCATTACTACAAATAAAGGTATAGTATATAAATATTTTAAACAATCACTTGTGCCAATACATAAATTACATTGTAATACACTATTTCTATTACAAATACTGTAGGACAGAGGTGACAATTTAAATCATGTTTTAAATATTTCAATCCAGTTAAAACTCAGAATTCAAATTTTAAAGGTAAAGGACTTCCTATAAATCCGAAGACTTCTCAAGATTTTTTTCAATTCAGATCATAGGCCTATCTACATTACTTCATCCAATGCACCCTCGCTATTATCCTTCCCCACAATCCATTCACAATTATTCTCTATCCTTTTGCCTTTTGTCTTTTGTATTCTGTACTTATCTACTTTATTTTTAATACAACATTTACAGTTGACTTAATATAAAAATACAGTTTATTGTACACAATGATATCTGCTGTTAATCCTATTTGGGTAGAATGAGTTTCAATAGATTATCATTTATTTAAGCTACAATATCAGAACTTAGCAGAAATGGAAGTTTGATGCCAAAATCCCTTTCAATAATTGAGTCGAGAGATCATTGTTGCAATTTGAGACAGGGATCTAAAATTAACAAATTAAAGAAATTAGATAATCCTTCACCCACATACACGCACTCCTCAAATTATGAAAACCTTTCATAAATTGAAAACAAATATTCCATAGACAGCAGACATCAACACGGTATTGTTCCCTCCATACATTTTGTAGCATATCATACTGAACCTTTCTAATAGTCTCTTGTATCCTTTCCTTCAAATTTTCCAAAGTTACTGGCATTGGAGGAAGACTTATTTCTTTACATAACCCCCAGAGAAAAAGTAGCATTGTTGATTTATTCATTAAAGTATCACCTGGTATTATTAAACCCAAGCATCCAAACTGGTAGATAATTTTGACCAGATATTTGCAGGCCTTCTATGGGGTCCCTTGCACTCAGGGTTCAGGATTTTCTGCTGCAGTAAAAGCCCCAAGTCCAAGACCTTCACTGATATCAACATACAGAAATGACTGTCATGTCCAAAATGACCTACTATGATCAACCATAAAAGCAGGTTTGTCACACAACTTATTCCAAACCTAACCAGACATGGAAAATGCCTTAAGTCCAGTGGAAACCTAACTTAACTACCAGGTACCAAATCTGAAGCCAAATACTAATTCCATTGTGCAGCTCATAATCAACTTGATAAAGCCAGTTCCGGGTATGTATAACTAAAATCAGTTATATTACATGTTTTACCAAATTGGTACCAAATTGTTTCATCTCCAATGAGAGCAATTAATTATTTTATCAATAACATGGCATCCCCCTCAAGCAGGTACAATACCTTACAATGCCTGTGTTAACATCCTTGAAGACACCCCCAATGGAAAAAACCCTGGTGCAGAGTAGAGTACACTTTCTGTACAGTAGTCAATTTTTTTTTTCACTTGAGAAAATTGAATAACCTAGTTCTAAGCAGCCAGCTTTCAAAACCTCGAAACTCTTAAAGGATTCCAATATTTTCAACATTAAGAATATAGGAGAATGAAATAATGCCTAAAGGAGCATATTACATGCAGATATGATAACCTACATGAAAAATTCCCACTGCAAACATCTGACATGCAACTATTTCTGAAAATTCATGCAAAATCTCCTTCCTTGTCATTAAGACACCTAGCCAGACCCTTCATCTGGTTTAAAACAACTTATAAGAGATAAGTTTGTACACACTACATTTTAATGGTTAATGTGTAGGGTTGAGTTAACTCCATTACCAACTTATTAACTAACCAGCCATGTAGGGAATTAAACACACACTTGCAACACAACCTAAATTATATCACAAGGACTAGACTGTGTGGCTCAAGTTCACATTTTATGTAAGAACCTAAAAACATTTAGCTGTCTGTTAAGCCCAAACTAAAGTACATTGTCCACTCAAAGCATGACCAAACACTTGTACAGCTGTATTGCCAACATTAACTAGAACATGAATGGATCAATGCATCTTTATATACACTTGACTAACACACTCTTCAGCCTTCTCATTTTAAAGGAATTTTCTTATGAAGTTGTTACTCATCAGAGACCCAATATACAGGGTAGGATTACAAATTTGTAAAATTTACAAAAATTTTACATTCCGTTTGCAAGTCAGGACCTTGGAGTCTTGATTTTCAACTTGCAGACTTACTAGCTACAAAAGTTACTCAATCCAAGATGTAAAGTTATAAAATACTAAACAGTAATACATGTAGTCCCCTTCACTTGTGCATTTACAGAGGCTCATCATATAAACATTCCACAGATCATTAACTTTGAGATACAGTGTTTTAAGTTGTATGTTTACTATACAGAGTATTGCAAATTTCCTTCTGTCGAATGGAAACAAACACAGGGTTTCCACACTGCACAAAATCTGACAAGCCCCTGTAAACACACTCGTTCCAACCACTGTCTTGTAGTCTCAAACTGCCATGATGGATGTGTTATGCTATGGTGGTCTCCTTTCCACAAGGTACCAAGATATCCACTCGGTGCATAATGAATTTCATAATTAGCATAAAACTTTAGGAAAGGTAAAAAAAACAAGTCCAGGACAATTGACAGATCCCAAAACGTTTTCTGCCCAATAAGTGAGAGAATACTCCGAGTTTTCTCGCCCATTAATAAGCAAAAAAACCTATATTCCTTTTCAACTTCTGTTTTATCCCAGAACTCATTGTTTTCCTGCTATACACTACCATCTTCCTTTGCCAGGATTTTCATTAGGAGCCAGCCAGTCTGACTAATTCAAGTAGTAATGTATTCAACAACTTTAACCTGCTCTTAAAACTTCTCTTTTCATTTATCTGATAAAATAATTAATCCAAAGTTAAATAATATCTTAACATATGTTATCTTTCATCTTACAAACATACAGTACTGGTATTTCCCCTCCTTAGCATTGTGCTGAAGAGCAGGAATGAAGACCTTCGTCTCCTATCCACTTATCAGCCATACTCTACTCTTTTAATGGGGTGGATTAAGTGAATTAAATCTCACAAGACCTATTCACTTATCCTTGACTCACACCAATTGAAAAATAAAAATAAAAAAAACTTTCACATTGCTTGAATGTTTGTCATCTTATTCATAAACTAGATCCAGCAATGATATTTCTGTCTATCTATTCTTTCATTCAAATAAATTTTCACCGTTTACACCCCACGTCACTACAGGTAATCCTTGTTGCATATCGCAGTTTCAATTTTTTTTTCCACGGCCAAAGTACACTTTATCACAGCATGTTTTATGTTTTCACAATACTGTACTGTACTCCAACAAGAATTAAAAATTTAAACCACACATGTGAGTTGATTAAAACTGAGCAGCAATTAAGGAGAATCGTATATATATATATATATATATATATATATATATATATATATATATATATATATATATATATATATATATATATATATATATATATATATATATATATATATATATATATATATATATATACCTGTATATATATATATATACAGTATATATATATATATATATCAAACTACCCAACACTGATTTTAACTCACAGAAGCCAACATGACATCTTCAGCTTCCCAGGTTTCACTGCTCTACATCATCATGCTTCTCACCCTAGTTAGATACAACTTTCTTTTCAAGTGAAGAGAAGGTCCTTTCATCATCAATCAAGGTAACAGATCCCTAAATCTCTTCCAGCTACTTCAGACTCTTGCAACTGAGCTAACTTCAGAAGCACCACCACTGATCACGTCACCCAAGTGGCAGTACTCAACAGCATAATCCAGGGACATACCCCCTTGATTACCTGCATATACAGCACATTTAAAATCAATATCCTGCTGTCTGCCATTTATACCACTACACCTCTTGTGTAACCACCTGCATAAATTGCAGTAAATTATTCAAATTCCTTTTAAATAAAAAATTCTGAAACACTCCAACAAAGAACCAATGTATCCAATTTATGAATCTGGCTTTGAAATATAGTCAATCACTTTTTAAGGTAACTGGGGTCATTCTAGATTTTTAAAAGTCATATACTGAACTGTATCTTCAGTTATGGCATACAGTAAAAACCTCAAAATTCAAAATAATAGGGGCTCTAGCCCATACAAATTATGAGACTTTACAAATTATGAGGGACACTTTCTTCTGGGGGAAAAAAACAAAACAATGGTACTTTTCCATTATCTGGTCCAACATTTGTAAGTACAGTTCCAGATTTAGGGTTATTAAAGATAGTGGCTCAAACATTAGGAAGATAATGGATGTAACACTGGGCAATAACAAAAAAACAAGTAGAAAAAGCTTGTGTGGTAGACTAGATTTGCACTCCATGACTGACCCATTTAAACTGGCCGACCTGCATATATTTGTTAACACTGAGGCAGGTGGTCGCATCCCAATGCGACATGTACGCCATACCTGCTCGTAAATGTCTCATAATTTGAAATTTAACCAAATATTATGAAAATTTTAATATAAATATCATAATATTTTGAAATGACTCCCATATTTCAATATTTTACCGAATATTACAAAATTTGTAATATATATTTTGTAACGACAAAACATTACGAGTTATAAGTGATTTCGAATTAGGGGTGTATGAATTATGTTTTGTTTTTTTCTGTAATAACAAACATCTTACAAATTTTACCAACAATTGCATTCCTTACACTTTCACCATACTCAAATATAACAATTTGGCCTCATGTCCAAAATTTTACTTTTTATTAACCCTCTCACATATTATGACGCAAATCGTATCAAATCATTGGGTAGCTCTATTTGCATTGGTGACGTAAATTGCGACATTAATCTTTTAAATATTTGCCCAAAAAAGTTTACAAGATAATTGTGTCAATTTTTTGTGCATCATAGGTGACTGCATGCTTGACTCCATCAAGGTAAGTTATTCTACAGTATGAGTATATAAATATTATGAACAATATGTACAATATAAATATGTATGAATACACTAATGTCATTTTCTGGGTGGGTTGTAGGTCGTTATAGGGGGGGTTCGGGTGACTGATCGCGGAACCGATTAGGCTTATTTGCATGTATTTCAACATCACCTGTTTGGCAATTTTGCATTTCGTGATACTAAACCGATACCAATTAGACGCTAAACTCGAGAACCTACTATACCTCATTAAGGTTTATGAGAAAATACCCCAAGATAAAATGCTGAGAAAACGTGTTTTTTTTTCTTTATTCAGTGAAAAAATTTTCTTTTTTATCTACTATGTTAAAGCAAAAACAATGAAGCCAGTGATGTATATATATAAAGAAATAAAATAAAAAAATTTGTGGGCTAAATCGGCTGCAGAACGAAGATGACCATACCTCATGTGAGTGGTCCTATATGACTTTTGTTGTGGTCACAGAAACTTTAAAACTTATTGCAGTGAAAGTTTTCCCTTGAAAATATTAGGAATATAATTTCACTAAAATATTTGATGTGATAATTCACCATGCTGAATGACACCTGAAAATTAACCATACAGAATGGGTTTGGGTTACATGAAAGCTGGATGAACCAAATTAAAGGAAAAAATATGGTACAGGTTGTACCTCTCTAGTCCGGCATTCTGTGGTCCGGAAACTCCCGTGGTCCGGAACGATTTTAGTTTGTCCAATAGGTAGATAGGCAGTTTTTTTTTTTACTTATCTGAATTACTATTATTATTACAGGAGTATTAAATTTTTGCCCCTCAGGCCCCAATGTGGGTCAGTGACCTATGCCCGGGTGAGCTAATCCCCTTAAAAAAAAAAAAAGCGCGGGAAATTAAGGTTTGTTTACATCCGGCAGTTCGGCTGCTCTCTCTCTCTCTGCTTGTCTATACAGAGTACAACATTTAACCCTTCAATATATATGAGCAGTAAATAAGTGTTGCTTTCATATTCTTATGTAGAGTAATGACGATATATTTTCACATGTGCGCACTTACATACGAGCAGTCTCACTTTTTTTTTTTACCATTAATGGTTAGCTACTTATATTGTTCCATTTATTAACATTAAATAACATTACAGGTACTTCAAGCAACCATATTCATTTTTTACATTAATTTTACTACAGCTAAACTCAGGGTCTTATTTTCTTCAGTTTTATATGTAGAACCAATCAGTCACTGGTTTCGTAAGCTTTAACATAAACAATGCCGGCAGCCGTCTCGTCTCCTCTAATATTCCACGTATTATTAATAAATTGTATTGTTAATTTTGCACACACGTACATTAATTCAATAAAAACAAATTCAGAAACATTAATTAAAATATATATGAACAGTACATAAGTGTTGCTTTCATATTCTTATGGAAAGTAATGACGATATGTTTTCACGTGTGCGCATGCGCACTTACATATGCGATCTCTCTTTTTCTTTGCCATTATCGTTAGCTACTTCTATTGTTCCATTTGTTAACATTAAATAACATTACTTAAAACAACCATATTAATTTTACTACAGCTACAACCAAGGTCTTATTTTCTTCAGTTTTATATGTAGAACCAGTCAGTCACTGGTTTTGTAATCAACGAAAACAATGCTGTGTCATTTCCTCGTGTGTTTTAATATTCTACGTATTATTAATGAATTGTATTGCTCATTTTGCACACAAACATTAATTCAATAAAAAAGACATTCAGTAATAAACAATAATGAATCTTTTATACATAAGAGAAATGACGCTGTTTACACGATTATGCACGTCGTCTGCATGTTGGCGGGCAGTTCAAACCCGTCGAAATTCAAGTTTCCGCCGTCAAAATTTTTATTTATTTATTTTTTTGTGTTCCAATAAAATACGTTAAGAATTAAAAACTCACGAAATTTGAGAAGCTACTATACGACATTTAACCCTTCAATATGTCTTCAAAGAGACCATGACGAAGAGAAAATGGTGCTAGTGCTTCCAGGCATAAGCACAAGTCACTATCTATCCAAGAAAAGGGTGAATTTCCATGGTCCGGCACCGGTCAGGTCCCGAGGTTGCCGGACTAGAGAGGTACAACCTGTATATGAGGGTTTAAATTCAACTTACAGTACATTGTTCATAAATTAAAATCTATATGAAAATGTTCTCATATTTCATACCAAATTAGAACAACTGGGTCAATTTTAATAACTGGTACAGTACAATCTTAAAAAAAAAAATTATAACTCACCTGTTTTGCATTGGTGTCTAATAATCTTACAATAGATTGCTTGCTATAGAAATTCATCAATGTATCAAGGTCACAATTCTTGAACAGATCAGCCATCTGCGTGCATACACCAAGAGCCAGATTGATAATGCGAAGCCGCCTCTGTCCACTGCAGGATGTGTAGAGAAGAGCTGCTTGTATGTATACACCATCTTCCTCTGTTAGCTTGTCATCATGCTTTACTTCTATAGCTATAGCCTTGCTGGAGTCTATACTGGCTAGTTCTATATCAGTTGTATTTGACATGAACAAGTGACCAAAGAACTCTACAGGTCTAACTCCCTGTGAGGTCCTCACCCGCATCACAGCATCAAAGGCAATGTTACGTCCAACATTGATTTTCAGGTCATCTAAAAACCTTGGACCATCCTTATTCGACTGGAAGAAAGTATACTTATAACACTGGCCTCCTGTCAATCTTGCCACTTGTCCAATTGTGGCCAAATCAACATAACTATCATTAAAAATATACAAATCTACAGAACAGCCAGCTGCTACAAGATCCTGCCCGAGGTTGTTGTAAAAAGTACCTTGTGGATTCAATACATGCTTCTCTTTTTCTGTGCCAAGCAGTTTTCTGTCCTCTCGCATCTTTAAGCTACCCACTCCCCCACCTACTGGTAATGAAGAATGAAACACAATTAATTTTCCTACTCTGCCAGAAGCCTTTAGGGCTTCCATTCCAGCACGAATTGCACAAGAAAGTGCACCTGAGGTTTCTCGTGTGGCTTTAAAATTCTCAGGAATGCATTCCATAAGTTTATCAATATTATCAGCAGCTTCTTTAGCATCACAAAGAACTCCTCCAGGCACTGGAACAAACATATCATCACGATCACATACAACACACATTTCTGGGGCTTGTCCATCAAGCTTGTAAAAGTGGACATTAGATTCATATGTTATGAAGCCAACTTTCATATTTGATTCAGGGGAGAGGGTACCACTGATGCAATCTCGGGGAAGATGCTGGAGAATATCTTTCATGTTCTGGCACAAGAGAGGAATCACACCTCGCTGCATCATCAACTGATTGATCTCCATGACAAATATAAATGCTGGCTCCTTGGGTAACTGCTTCTCCTGAAAATAAAAAATATACAAGTAAAAGGAAAATATATTTGTATAAATTGAGAAAGAGTGGGAGGAGATACTAGCAAATTTGCAAAAAACTAAATATACAGTATAGCCCCAAAATAACATCACTTGATAATTAACTTTCCCAATAATTTTACAGTGCAAGTTTAATTTTTATAACATGGAAGAACTCCTCTAAGCTGTAAATCATCTTACCCGACAATACTCAGCAGTGGCAAGAAATTCGTAAGAACCACAACACAATTCTGGTCGCTGAAATTTATCTGCTCGTGATCCCTGACCATCCATGTGGCAGAAATACTCTTTTGGAACTTCAACCACACCTCGACACAGCTTGCACTGGTACCTGGAAAATACTCATCAATTTGAATAATAGAAGAACACATACACCAAACAAACCCTGGACTTGGTTAAAAGACGTGATAAATGATAAAAAGTAAGTTTAGGAAAATGTGTTGCTACCTCATCACTTAAAAATAATCTGACAACCAAGAATGAAAAATACAAGTACAGGCATATAAATGATGAAAGCAATACTGGTAATCTGCAGTTTTGCTAGCCATTGACAGTACTTGGTCACACTTGCTGGTTTGACAAATCTTTCAAGCATAATACTACTGTATACTATAATCCCCCCCTCCCCTAGGAATGTACAGTAAGTCCTCGCTTAACGTCGTCCCGTTCAACGTTGTTTCGGTACTACATCGCTGAACTTTGGAGACCCAAAACTCGTTTAACGTCCCAGTGATCCGACACTACGTCATTTTGCATCGTCGAGGACTACTTTCTACGGCGCATCACCCGGCTCTGCACGCTGCCCTCACTCGCGGAACGTTACAGCGTAACCAAGCGACGCCAAGCCAGTCTCTGTTACGATTCACATCATTCATGTGTGCTTAAGTGTTTTTGCTCTAAAACTGTACTCTAACCATTCGAAATGGCTTCCAAGCGCCCATCAACTGCTACTGATGCTAGTGGTCTAACCCCCACAACAGTGCATGCTATCCGAACCAACACTAACAAAATTAAGGTTAGTGCTGGAAGTGGTTCTTCTCTAAGTGCTACTAAGACAACTTGTAATAGAAGCACTGTGATAGAGAAGGTGGAAAGATGCTGGCAGAAGGGGTCGAAGGGTCGAAGGAAGAGACCTTTACGGCCAGTCGAGGATGGTTTCAGCGATTTAAGCGTCGTTATAACTTCCACAACATAAAGATGACTGGTGAAGCTGCCAATTCAGATACGGTTGCTGCCGAGACATTTCCGCCAGAATTCAAACGGATTATCCCGCAAGAAGGCTACTCACCAAAACAAGTCTTCAATGTGGATGAGAATGGTCTCTTTGGAGGAGAAAAGAGCAGCAGGTTTTAGAGCAGCAAAAGACTGCCTGACGCTGCTGCTTGAAGCGAACGCTGCCGGTGACTTCAAGCTGAAGCCTCTGCCGATTTCTCGCGCTGCCAACCCACGGGCCCTGAGAGGTTACTCTAAGGACCACCTTGTCATTTACAAGGCAAACAAAAAGGCATGAATAACCGGTGCCATATTTAGCCAGTGGTTAAACGTATATGCCTTCCCTGCACTGAAGGAATACTGTGCCAAGGAGTACCTTAAGTCCAAAATTCTTCTGATCCTTGACCATGCTCCAGCTCATCCTCCCTATCTCGACGACTTGCATGACAGTGTAAAGGTTGTATTCCTGTCTCCCAACATGAGAGCACTGATGCAGCCTATGGACCAAGGCGTCATCGCCGCATTCGAGGCGTATTATTTAAGCCGAACCATGGCCCAGCTGCTCAAGGATACAGACTGAGAAAATAAACCAACGATCCAAGAACAATGGAGCGGCTTCAACATTCTTCATGCAATTGACAACATTGGCAAGGCATGGGAATAGGTTTCAGAAAGTTGCCTGAATGGTGTGTGGTGTAAACTGTGACCCGAGTGTGTCAACAGTTTTACGGGATTCACGGACTTAGTCCCAGCTGTGAATAGGGATATCCTCAGCTTGGCTAGACAGGCAGGCTTTGAGGAGCTGGAATCAGAGGACATCCTGGCATCCCATACAGAAGAGCTCACCAACAAAGATCTGCAACAATTAACAGAACACAGTCCCATTGAAGAAGACGACGACGACGACGACGAAAAAGAACCTCAACGAACACTAACTTCCAAGAGGTTGGCAGAATCGTTGAACATGTTCCAGCAAACAATGCAAATGCTTCTAGATGACGACCCAAACAGAGAACGTAACTCAAAGGTTCAACGCAGAATTGAGGACAGTCTTGGTTGCTACGATATCTATAAGGAGAAGATGAGTAGCACCAAGCAGTCAACACTGGATTCATTTTTTTCGTCATGGGACACCAGGAGCTTCTTTACAACAGCTGGCAGCCGAGGAGGAGCAACCAGCAGCCGAGGAGGAGCAACCAGCAGCAGAGGAACCCCAGTCAGAGCAGGAGGAGGCAGCCGCAATCTCAGTGACTCGCCATCCTCCTCCTTCACTCCACTACCCACCACACTCGCTCTACCACCTCCACCCATCAGTGAGTACCAATACAAACTTAGTACTGTAGTTCTATATACTATTTTCTATAGAAATGGCAATGATTTTCTGTATATGTAACCTTTTTCATGGGGCAAAGGGAGGCTCAGGAAAGTAACTCCCGTATTTTATCCATTTCTTCTGGGGAAAATTGATCAGCTTAAAGTCGCGTTTTCAGGAACGTAACCCCAACATTAAGCGAGGACGCCCTGTATCTAATTTTTATAATGGAAGTCTGAGAAACTATGACCAGATTTACAAATAATCAATATATGAAAGGTTTTTCAGGAATTAAACCGTTTTGCAAATCAGGGAATGTGCGTGTATAATTTGACATCCACCAAGACTTCCAGGGCATGCCATTTCATATACTCATTCCCAATTAAAATTTCCAACTACCAATTATGGTATGTAAAGGTCATAAACATCTTAATTCATCTAACTTTTACAGTATTTTTCTGTTCGAGATAACATAGCAATGAGACTATCCATCTTAAACCACCAACCCTTTGTTTTCACTTGCTTTACTTTTCAATGATCTTTTCTTCAGTAATTCATGCAATTTACAGTTCTACCTAGCTTATCACCTAACTTTGCCCATAAAACAAAACCTGCATACAAGTGTGAAAAATTCCAGTCATATCATTTGTTTTCATTCAACAAACAAATACTCTATCTTGAGTAATACCCTACCCACTGACACACTACTGAACAGTGTCAAATACACAGTGCCAATGCAGACCCACATTTAAGTTAAATCATTCATTCAGAGTAGCATGCACTATGACACGCTTTACTTCCCCTGTACAAATTTTCATTAGCATTCACACTGTCTCTACATACCCTTATTCCCCCTAATGCAAGCTGTTTGTTAAAACACACTTGTACAGTATTTAAACAATCATTTAATTGCTTTCATCACCTTAAAGGGTTTAGGACAGCAGTTCCCAATTAGGGGAAAATTAACCAAAGGAGGTAATTTGAAATTTTTCAGGGGTAACGACAACCCAGGAGATATAGCCATATTTTTTCTACTTCTCGATTCCATATACAACCGTTGATCATTCATGTATCAGACACATTTTGGGCATGGCAGAGTTGGCACCTCTTGCCTTATTCTCCCTCATCTGGGGTAAGGAGTACTGCTGTCAGACTTGTTTTGAGATAATGGCTAATACTAATTGGGAACCAGGTTGCTGATCTGTCTTTCTGCCTCATTTACACACAATTGCAGGGTCTCAATTGTTTCTCTTACTTGACAACACAACATACATATAGCATTTCTGACTATTGATTGTATTTTTTTATAGTTCTTTATTATTATTATCATCATTATTTTATTTTACTTTTTATCATAAATTTTATTGACGATTAATTATTATTATTATTACATTTTCGCCCCCCAGGCCCCGATGTGGGTCAGTGAACTGTGCCCGGGTGGGCTAATCCCCCATAAAAAAATATAATAAAATAAATAAATTAAAATACACAATTTGCCTGCCATAAATGCAGAGAACATGACTATTTCTATGCCTAATATGATGATCCAATCATTTCTTACCAAGCTGCCACAACTACTGTACTAACATAACTTGGCTACATATGAATTTTCCTAACTACAAACCTCATCACCGTTTTAACACCAGAAGCTACACTAATGTCAGCTAGTTTAAACTCTCTCTTCTATCTCTTATACATCACTAAAGCACCTACATATTAATATAAAATAATGCAAGGATATGCCATTATAATGCCAGAAACTTACTTTCGACCTCCATCCATGAACTGCATCAGCGGACTCATATAAGCCTTGCATCTATTACACCTGACTGGTCCATTTTCCATGCTGGTACCAATATATAGTGGACTGTTTGTACTCCTTGTCTCTGCAAGAGGGCTAATTACAAGGCCAAAAGGAACATGTGTTTGCTTCATCAGTTCTGGTGTGTGAGGGATACTGTACATTGTAGACCTCAAATTGTGTGGAGATGCATTGCCTCCATCTCTCACAGTAAACTCTGTGGTGACCAGCGGTGGTACCTGACCTTTCATATTTGTGATAAATTCTCCACTTCTGCATTGACGATCCTCCTCCATAACCTGTAAGGGACTTGGCATATCATCAGGATTAAGACGGCGTCCTTGGCCTTGTGGAGCACCTGAGTAACCACCTGGCCCTGGTCCACCTGCACTATTACCTGGGTACCTTGTCTGCATGTTACCCATACCATTTACTGGAGGACCTCCCTGACTAGGTGGTGGAGGCAATCCTGATTTATGCCCAGGGGGCATACCTGCTTGAGAAGAAACCCCTTGTCCAGGGGGAGCACCAGGTCTGGGTGGCATGCCGGGTCCAGGAGGCATGCCTGGTCCATGAGGCATGCCGGGTCCAGGAGGCATGCCTGGTCCATGAGGCATGCCTGGTCCAGGAGGCATGCCTGGTCCAGGAGGCATGCCTGGTCCAGGAGGCATGCCTGGTCCAGGAGGCATGCCTGGTCCAGGAGGCATGCCTGGTCCAGGGGGCATGCCTGGTCCAGGGGGCATGCCTGGTCCAGGGGGCATGCGTGGTCCAGGGGGCATGCGTGGTCCAGGGGGCATGCCTGGTCCAGGGGGCATGCCTGGTCCAGGGGGCATGCCTGGTCCAGGGGGCATGCCTGGTCCAGGAGGCATGCCTGGTCCAGGAGGCATGCCTGGTCCAGGAGGCATGCCTGGTCCAGGAGGCATGCCTGGTCCAGGAGGCATGCCTGGTCCAGGAGGCATGCCTGGTCCAGGAGGCATGCCTGGTCCAGGAGGCATGCCTGGTCCAGGAGGCATGCCTGGTCCAGGAGGCATGCCTGGTCCAGGAGGCATGCCTGGTCCAGGAGGCATGCCAGGCTGAGCTGGAATACTTGGCCCATGTAGCATACCAGCCCTTGGTGCTCCAACTGAAGCTGGTGTATACAGTTGTTGAGGTTGTCCTGCAGGTGCCATAGAAGACATATGGTAACTTGGCTGGTTTCCTGCAGGAGGACCAGGCATTGATGATGGTGGTGGGAAGCCAGGCTGACCTCGCCCAAGAGGACCAGTTACAGACTGTGGGAAGCCTGGTTGATTACTTCCAGGGGGGCCTGCCATAGATGGTGGAATGCCAGGTTGATTACCCCCTGGGGGGCCTCCCTCAGATGATGGTGGGAAGCCTGGTTGATTACCCCCTGGGGGGCCTCCCACAGATGATGGTCGGAAGCCAGGTTGATTACCCCCTGGGGGGCCTCCCATAGATGGTGGGAAGCCAGGTTGATTACCCCCTGAGGGGCCTCCCACAGATGGTGGGAAGCCAGGTTGATTACCCCCTGGGGGGCCTGCCACAGATGATGGTGGGAAGCCAGGTTGATTACCCCCTGGGGGGCCTGCCACAGATGATGGTGGGAAGCTAGGTTGATTACCCCCTGGGGGGCCTGCCATAGATGGAGGGAAGCCTGGCTGATTCATGCCAGGAGGACCTCCCATTGATGATGGTGGGAAGCTTGGTTGGCCTCCCCCAGGAGGCCCTGCAGATGATGGAATGCTTGGTTGACTTCCCCCAGGGGTGGCACCCACAGATGATGGGGGGTAACCTTGTGTTCCAGCTCTTGGTTGTGCCATTAGTTGTGTAGGAGTTGAGCCTAATGTCACCTGTGAAGCACCAGGGTTTGACATGTGACCAGGTGTAGAAGATGGTGTTGGCCGTCCACCTGAACCCCCAGGAGGAGGACCAGATGGAGGCCTGGTAGGTTGTCCTGGCATAGGCCCTAAGTGTGGCCCAGGCATAGGACCAGGTGGAGGCTGATATGAAGTCCCAGACACAGGCCCACCTGGGGACCCAGAAGGAGGAAGGCCATTTGCCACAGGCTGTAAGACAAGGGTTACTTTTTAATTTCTTGAAAAATTTCAGGAGTGAAAACATACAGAAAATAAAATTCACATCTGTACATCCAAGTACCTACTCATATAACCATGCATTATGAATAACCTAGTATGTTTGTGGCATAGGAAGCAATTCTAAATATACACACAGTAAATTCCCTCTAATCTGGACTAACTGGGGGGGCATCAGCCTGACAGATTGAAGCCAGCGACCTGACTGGCGGCCATCTTGCTGTTGCTCTCAAGTCAGGTCAAGCTTGCTCTCCTCACGGCCCACACTTTCGACATGCTTAGTATTAACTCAGCAGTAAGTGTTAGAGGTTGTGGCTACAATATCTACCCAGCAGTGATTGGGTATTCTACAATGTCTACCAGTTGTATTGCATTTGGGTGCAATGAAAGAGCTAACAAGAAGTCTGATCCGTCTATTACATTTCACCAGCAAGTTAAATTTTAATTTTGCTTTTAGTTTGCTTCCCAGAACAAATGTGCTTGATAGTAAACAGGAAGGTCTTTCTTATATACACATATGGGATGAAAGAGGATTAATATTGCATCTCGATATTAGTCTTTTTCACAGGCTGCCGAAGGACCAGTGCAGAAGGCAAAAATGAGTTTTGGCTCTACGAAGAGACAAGTACAGTACACACCAGGCAAACAAGCACGTCTCTGCTCTAAGCATTTTGCCCCTGAAGATTTTGACAGGACTTCTTTGTCTTGCATCCGATTATGAGAAAATGCTGCTCCTAGTATATTTGAGGCTTTCCCTGCTCACCTACAGAAAAAGACAAATAATAGCCCCCCCAACCCGGACTGTTTGTGAGCCTTCTCTATCCGAAGCTGCAGCTTCCTCTCTTACTGTAGCAGAAAATCACCAAGAAGCTAATTTAAAAAATTCTCTATTGAAAGTGATGAGGATTAGAGGAAAACTTGGGAAGTCAAGGAAAAAATACAACTTTTGCAACAGAAAACACGACAACTGAAAAAGAAAAAGGAAGACTTGTGTTTTGTGATTAGTGTATTAAAAAAAACCCTTGTGAATGAAGACAGTCTGACTATTTTAGAATCCTATACTGGTGGAATGACTGACCTTGTGAAGTATGGGAGGATGCAACAACAATCCCACGGCTCGGCAATTCTCAGCAGCCCCACAATGACATTGAAGAAGTGACTCGTGGAAATTTATCAGCTTTAAAATCTATCCAAATCCTAATTGCCTCTAGTAATTATCTAAACCATCTTAATGCTAATGCTCCATTGAGCAATTTAATTAATTCTGGTGTTGATAAAAGCATACAGTGTCTTTGAGCAAGATAACATTTTTCAAAGTGAGGAATCTGATGTGCTCTCAGAAGAGGTAAATGCTAACTTAGTTTCATCTCGTGTGGTCTCTCCTTGTGCTGAGAAAATAGTTGCATATATAGCTGGTTTTGTTTCTGTGAATCTTAAGAAATCTTTAGAGTGTGAAGCTTGTTGTAGTGTACTATTTACCCAAAATATTGATGAAACTCATGCATTAATCACTATGAAAACCAAAGAGAATTTATCATTTCCAATTAAAGATGTCATTGCTATATGTTGCTTATGAGAAGATAGTCAGAGAAAAAATATTGCTTGCCAGTAAAATACACCCCTACACAAAACTGTCAACATATGATTGCCACAAAATTGTAATTTATGTATTGTCTTAGTGAGATACACATACCGGTATGCAGGCAAACAGTTCACAGCACGAAACATATCTCTCAAAAATGCCAAAGTAGAACTAGCATGAATAAGTTAAATGTTGTACAGCAGAATCTAATGATCAGTCTGAAAGGTAAAAATGAACAGAAATCCCCATGCTCAGGGTACCAGGTTTGTGCCATGATGAGGATAATCGATGCGAATTATTAGTGTTGTTCATTGAAATTTAATTTTATTGTAGTATAGTGCAGCTACTCCTCGACTCACGACATACTCGACCTACGACCACCTGCACATACGACCTGCCTCAGTCGGTACGACCACCCGCACATACAACTGCCGCAGTTGGTACCAAAATTTTTTCAAATGACGCGCGTATTTTCTAGACCGAAACATTTCCGTCCCGTACGAGAGCGTTGCTTGGGCTGGGTCACCTCGTGGCTACAGCATCCACCCCTTAGAGCGCTTAGTTGGTGTTTGGCTGTTGTTGTTGTCGATAGTGATCGCGCTGTGTACTGACAATATTTTCTTACCTAATTCACGCGATCTAGGCTTCTCGCACTCGACCATATCTACTATTTTGAAGGACAAGGAACATATTTGTGAGGAAGTGAAAGGATTAGCACCTATGAAGGGAACTATAATAACGAAAAAAAGACAAGGTCCTATTCATGAGATGAAAAAATTACTTGTGATATGGATGGAAGACCAGATACAAAAGCATGTACCCTTAAGCCTTCTAACCCTACAGGCTAAGGCAAGAAGCCTTTTCGAAAGCCTGAAGAAGCAGGCAGGGGATGAGAGCGACCAAACCTTCACAGCAAGTCATGGGTGGTTCCAAAGGTTTAAGATCCGCTACAGTTTGCATAGTGTAAAGGGGAGTGGAGAGGCAACAAGTGCTGATGTGGGTGCTGCCGAAGCTTTTAAGGAGCTAGATCGTGTCATCGTGGAGCGAAATTACTTGCTGAGCAAATATTTAATGTGGATGAAACTGGCTTATTATGGAAGCGCATGCCTGAACGGACATACATCCACAAAGAGGCGAAAACAATGCCGGGATTCAAGGCATTCAAGGACCGAATCACACTTCTGCTGGGGGGGGGGGGAAAGTAGCTGGTTTCAAGATAAAGCCCTTCATAATATATCATTCAAAGAACCCAAGGGCTTTTAAACATGTCAGCAAGCACACACTGTCAGTGTTTTATCGCAGTAACAAGAAAGCATGGACGACCATAGTACTGTTTGAGGATTGGTTCATGACTTATTTCATTCCACGAGCCAAGGAGTATTGTCTGCAACAAGGGATTGCATTTAAGATTTTGTTAATTTTGGATAATGCTCCGGGACACCCACCACACCTGGACGACATGCACCCTGATGTTAAGGTAGTCTACATTCCACCTAACACTACCTCTATCATCCAACCCATGGATCAAGGTGCTATTGCTGCTTTTAAAGCGAATTATTTACGTACGACCTTCGCTCAGGTTGTTGCTGCTACTGTTTTTGAGAAAATGCTCAGAGTTTTGGAAGGACTACAACATTTTGAAATGTATAAAGAACATTAGTGCAGCATGGGATGAGGTTACAGGTCAGTGCATGAATGGAATTTGGAAGAAAGTCCTGAAAAGATATGTGAACAGTTTCAGAGGATTTAATGAAGATGAAGTAATTTCTGAGATTAGTAACAAGATAGTGGAGTTGGGTAAACAGCTTGAGTTAGAAATTGATAATGAAGATGTTGAGCAGTTGGTTGAAAGTGTAGCAGAAGAGCTAAGTAACGAGGATCTTATTGAACTGGAAGCACAGAAAATGCAGAGGAAGAAGAGAGTCTAAATGTAGAAGAAGAACCTGCACCCCCAAAAAAATTTTCAGTGAAGCAAATGGCAGAGGCATTTGCTACAATTAATAAGGGGATGCAAATGTTTGACGGAAAGGATAAAAATGTTGAGCGTTTTGCCAAAGTTGACAGAATGGTCCAAGATGCTTGCTACAGGGAGATTTATAATGAAAAGAAAAAGCAAATTGTGCAGTCTTAATTGGACATATATTTTAAGAAGTCCCCCATTCCTGTCTCCTCACACCCCACCAGTGCTGCCTCTTCACTCCCAAAAGATGATCCAATACCTTCAACCAGCAAGTTTCCCTGTACATTAACCTGTCTGAAGAAAGCGACATTAATGACCCACCCAGCCCTGTCTCCTCCTCTGCTTCATCCAATTAATATAGTCTCCATGTATACCTGTAAATAGAAAATTATGGGGGACCCGTGTGCATTCAGCCGACTCCATTAAAGTGCACAGTAACACTGTATCCATTCTTCATTATTGATTACTTTTACTGTACTGTATTTAATTTTAGATTTTCTATGTATTATTTTTTGCATTTTCTGGATTTCGGTCCCTAACCCCGTCGTAAATCGGGGAGCAGCTTTATACAGTTTTACCCCGCCTAACGCGGTTTCACTTAACGCGTTTTCGCATATACGCGGTGCCTTGCCAAAGCTGAACTTTCACTTAACGCGGATTTTTTCCACATATACGCGGTGAGTGTCCGAGACGCTATTTTTAGATTTGCCCCACCCGCCACCCTGCCTGTTTTAGCTCATAAAATTCATACAAATTACCAGGCCAGAATATAATTTACATTGCTGGAATTCTTATAATTTGGTGATCATTTTGAATATAAACATCATATATTTTGCTTTAAACTTACAATTTTTAGATAAAAATTTTTCTCTAGGTAACTATGGTATCTTTTGTGCAAAATATATGACATTTATATTCAAAATATTCCTGGTCTTACAAGGAATCCAGCAATGTCAATTATATTATCCTAACTTTAGTTTGAGGTATTATTTATTAAAATTTAGTGGTTATCCCACACATCTCCTTGGGACGGTTGGTGGGGGGGAGGGAGGGACCGACCGACCATCTGTTACCCTGTGAAGAATTATTTTTTTTTTTTATTAACTGAAGATATTTGTTTTAGCTCATAAAATTCATACAAATTACCCGGTCAGAATATAATTTACATTGCTGGAATTCTTATAATTTGGTGATCATTTTGAATATAAACATCATAGATTTTGCTTTAAACTTACAATTTTTAGATAAAAATTTTTCTCTAGGTAACTATGGTATCTTTTGTGCAAAATATATGACATTTATATTCAAAATATTCCTGGTCTTACAAGGAATCCAGCAATGTCAATTATATTATCCTAACTTTAATCTGAGGTATTATTTAATACTAAATGTTAAAAACTCTGGAAGGGAGGATTGGTGGGGGGAGGGTTGGGACTGACCGCGCGGTTGGAAGAGGGGGGGAGGCAAGGTGGGGTACTTTGATTGACAGATAGTGTTGTGAAGATTATTATTTTTTTATTAACTGAAGATATTTGTTTTAGCTCATAAAATTCATACAAATTACCCGGTCAGAATATAATTTACATTGCTGGAATTCTTATAATTTGGTGATCATTTTGAATATAAACATCATATATTTTGCTTTAAACTTACAATTTTTAGATAAAAAATTTTCTCTAGGTAACTATGTTATCTTTTGTGCAAAATATATGACATTTATATTCAAAATATTCCTGGTCTTACAAGGAATCCAGCAATGTCAATTATATTTTCCTAACTTTAGTTTGAGGTTATCCCACACATCTCCTTGGGACGGTTGGTGGGGGGTGGGTGGGGGGAGGGAGGGACCGACCGACCATCTGTTAGCCGGCTGTGTAGTGTGAGAGGGAGGGAGTTGAGTCCATTATTTGAATGGACATTAACTTGGCGACTGTATTTCTCTATTTCTCTTAAGTATTAATTGTGTGCATGTACCATCATAAAATTAAGATGTTATTTTTACTACAACATAGGTATGTGCCTTCAAAAAGTGGAGTTTGGGGGTCGGGCCGGTTTCTATTGGAATTAATCCCATATGTTCTGTTGTTCACTTAACGCGGGACCCTCTGGGTTCAATTGACCGCGTTAAGTGGGGTACAACTGTATAATAAATGGTTGAAAATAATAATAACGATTTCACTTAATCACACAGGGATGCTATGGATGAGCGTAAACGGTGCAAACCAGTGTAAATGAGGGTCACTCAGTCTCCTGGCATGCGACCAGCCTACACAAAGATGGCCAACAGGGGGAAGATTGGCTTCACCTGACAGTACTGGGAGCGCGTGGCATGCCGCCTGCACCCTTTATACCTCCATGGGGAAGACCTATCCGATTTTGCCAAAATTTCAGTTTGCACCCCCCAGAACTGGAATTGCCTGTACGGTCCATATTGCAGGGTGGAAAATTCCAGAGGGTAGGGGGATTTCCAAGTAAAGCTACCCAAGAACACTAACCCTAGCCTACTGTAATTTTTAGCCTAGAGTTAACACTTAGGGTTTTAATAGGCCATATGAATGGGGTTTTTTCCAGCCACTTGGGGTTTTAACATCGGTGGGAAAATTTTGTTAATTATTCCTATACGTATCTAATATACTCCAGCAGCTTGGCACTGGTTCTCGGTACAGCTCTACTCAGTGAGCAGTGGTGGGCAAATTGCTAACAATTTGTAATCCAGTAAAGTAGAAGTACTTGTCGAAAATAGTAATCGTGTAGAAAAATTATTTGGATAAAAAAATCGTGTAAAAGTTAAAAGTACTGATGTCTGAAATGTAATTAAAATTGTAAAGTAGAAAGTCATGCTTTCACTGCTAATTTCTTTGAGTGCATGTACTGTACACTATTTGTATTTTGTAGACACTACACTTTAGTGCTCCTCAACAGCCACCTCCACAGAGGCAACTTCAGAGTTACCCTCCTTTACCACCAATGGCAGCCCCCCACTTATGCTAACTTTCCCCTGTACCAACCAGATTTTGGTTGTGTTTATCCAGGTTGGGGATACATATGTCCGGTGCTGGACCCCCAATCCAGTTTGGAACGGGATATGGATGAAGCAAGTCCGGGTTAGAGGGCATTTACTATACATTAGTGTATATGGATAGCCTAAAACTAGCTTTATTTTCTAAATGAAATTGGTGTGGAGACAGAATTCTGGAAGCACATCTAGCCCATGGAGTCAATGTGAAGGTTTTATGGAAAAGAAGAAAATGCAACCTCACTCTCAGACAGTAATCATCATGTAATCTATACTGTACATATAAGATACATCCTGTTTGTCTGTTTGCAAGTGATTATGTTCCTTATGTATTTCTAGTTTTGAAGACACTGAATTTTTTTACATACACAAGGGGTTAATTACCTGAGAAAAGTCAGATAACCCATCTAGCTTTACCTAAATGACAATAACAAACAGAAGAGGGGTCAAGAAAGCCATTTCAAGGACCCCTATTTTTACTTAAAATTCCCCACCATTTATTCTCATAGTGTTCTCAAGCCCTCATACGTTGACAGATCCACTCGAACCAGACACTCCTTGATCCTGGCTGTCACATTACCAACTGTTTTCTTGAACTCGAAAAAAGTAAAGAACAGTTGATCCCCTTTCCTAGATATTTCTCTAGTAGTTGTCTCACCAACATTTTACCATTGTACAGCCATCTTCCATGCTTGTGTGGGTTAGCCACAGTAACCTGATGGCAGTTCTTCATGCTACATTGTCTTTTGCAGCCTGACTTGTCAGGTTCCTGCTTCTAAGGTCATTTCTTACAACTCTCCCCATGTCATTCTTGGCCTGCCCTTGGCTCTCCTCCCCTCCACATTTAGGCTCTTGCATATCTTGACCCAAATAGTCTCATCCTTTCTCTCCACACGCCCAAACCATCTTAGCCTGCCACTACGCGCGACTTCGTTAATGCTCTCAACACCCAGCCACCCTCATAGCTCTGAGCAGGGCCTGTCCTTTCAGCGACACATTACACATCCATCCTGTAATTCTCATTTCAGTTAACTCAAGTCTACTTACTGTCATCTTTAATTGTACAGGTTTCACTGGCATAGAACATCACACTTCTCACATCAGCCACATACATTCTTCCTTTCACTCAAAAGGAAGGGCCTCTTCCTCCAGCCACTTCTGGCTCTTGCAACTGGGAAGGCTTCAGCACCCCCACCAGCACTGATCATATCAAACAGGTAACAGAAACCATTGACACAATCCAGGAGTATATCCCCAATGTTAAGTTTCTCCAGTCTTACTGTGGGCACATGGTTACCTGCACTTAAGTTATTAAAATTCCAGTCTGCTATCTACAGTACTTCACAGTACCTCTTGTGGATCCACCTTCCACATTCGTTGCACATTATCGAGTTGCTACCAACACCTTTCTTGCAGACAGCATATGGCCATTTTCCACTTCAAGTTCCTCACTCACACCAAGAATCAATACTTTTGTTTTTGTCAAATTCACTCCCAGCCTTATTACCTCTATTCTATCCTCCTATTTCTTAAATTTCTCCAATGCCTCTTCAATATTATCTGCAATCAGCACTAAGTCATCAACATACAACAATGGACTCTACTTTTACATCAAATTACTCACCATTTACTCTCACAGAGGTTTTCAGCCCTCACAAAATGCCATAACTCAAAAAAAGGTACTTCTTGACTCCAAGCCTCCTCACTGCCCACTTCACTACTACATTTGGAACCGTCATATACTTTCTCCAAATCTACAAATATGAAGTACTATTTTCTCTTTCCCTAGATATTTCTCTTATAGCTGCTTGGCCATAAATATTGCTTCTGTAATCCCACTAACTGGCACAAACCCAAACTGCATTTCATTTAGGTCAACTCTCTTCTCATCAATCTCTCAATCACTCTTTCTACAACTTTCATAGCCTGACCCTTGCAGCTTCAGGCCCATGTAGTTCCAGCATTCAAGTGCATCACCTTTGCCCTTTTGAGTATTCACAACCTTGCTTTTCAAGCCAGTAAGCTGGAGCAATACATTTGATCACAAATGCATTAGTCGACTTAATCATCACAATGACGCCAACATGATGTAACGCTTTTAACATATCTGCAACCACTCCAGAGCTGCCAAAGTCCTTAGATAAAAATTTGTCCATCCCCAAGAATATGGTATGTCTAGAAAGGCTCCATCTCATGGAGGACTCCCACACAACAATATATTCATAATTTCTAAAGTATCTACTTTAAATCATTCTTTCTTGCACATCGATAATATATTAAAATCTTGCCTAAGCCCAAAGACTACTACTTAAGCTATTTATGACTATAATATTAGGAGATCCTGCCTTTTGTATTCATTAAATTTACGTAGTAGATGGCAAAAATATTACCTTGAAGTCAAACATTGGCGAGACATAATAACTTACCATGGGTTGTTGCAATCCCTGTGGAGGAGGTGGTCCTGCTGATGGACCAAGACTCATCCCCCTCATCTGTTGATTCATTCCTGCCATTGATGGAGGTCCACCAGGAGGTCTTGGGGCTGGCATTTCATGTTTATATGGCCCTGTGGATAATTATTTGGGCTAAATCTTTGCAAATAAATCCAACATTTATTGACCTTTCACTTGAGTTGTCATGGCCAACAAGAATGGGAATTGTATGTAGCCTTATTTTCTACTGAGAACATTATGTGCAAGTTCATAATATGAACATGAGAGTATATGCAGTATTGCTTTTGGCTACTGCCTGAGTGAGATGATGCACCTCATTAAGTGTGAGGCTAGTGCTGACTAGAACCTTCCCTCCCACTTCATGAACCTTTAGGTGTGCATGTAAGTACAGCAGGCTCTTCAAATTCGCAGGGATTAGGTTCTCAAAATGGCAAGGAAATGTATATTCCCTTTATGTGTTTGCCTTAAGAATTTTTTTTTTCCATATTGTATATATAATCAGGAACAAATGTATTAAAATTGTGAGTCTACCCTCAAGTCCACTCAGTGCTTTATTAATAACAAAGTATGGAATTGACTTCATGGTAGACTCACATTTGTAATACATTTGTTTTTGATTATTTACAGTAAAACCTCGATTAACCGACCACATATGGGGGGAAGGGGCCGACGGATAATCCAAAAGGTCGGTTAATTGTACATAAAGTCTACGGAAAAAAACACACATTTTCAAAGTACCTTTCCCTAACCTACCTCATTTAAGTCCCTCTATTCATTTTTGTTCATTTGCCATTCATATTTCAATAGAATTTGCTTTAAAACATTAACCACTTTAGTAAATCAATATGAACCAGCACAGAAACCGTGAATAAAAAATGGAAAAGTCAAAAAACATATCACAAATATTGTGACCAAGTCCCAGGTTGCTGATCTGACTTTTTGCTTCATTTACACACAGTTGCAGGGTCTCAAGTGTTTCTCTTACTATTGACAGCACAACATACATACATGTACATTGTTTCTCACTCTTGATTTTTTTTTTTTGCATTTCTTTATGGTTCATTATTATTATTATCATTATCATTATTAATATTATTACATTATCGCCCCCCAGGCCCCGATGTGGGTCAGTGACCTGTGCCCGGGTGGGCTAATCCCCATAAAAATAAAAAAAATAGGAGTTCGGGATTGACGGTTAATCCGAAAGTCGGTTTATCGAGATTTTGCTGTATTTGTATGTGTTTCGTCCACACGCACACTATAAACAAAACAGGTAAAAGAAATTACTGCCTCTAAAACAAATGGCTCCCTGTCACAGCCGCGAAAATGCCAGCAACGTTAAAACTACCCTTAGACATTCTTGGGTACATCCAGGGTGTCATCTGCAAATAATCTAGGTCCTCAAATTAAAAATCTGTAAATTTTAACGGCGTGTTGTACTGTACAGTAGACATTTCTCAGCTTTCCCTTTAAGAACTAGTGATTTATATTAACCTGGTGGGCTTCAGCAGGAAAAAAAAAATATATATATATATATATATATATATATATATATATATATATATATATATATATATATATATATATATATATATATATATATATATATATATATATATATATATATATATATATATATATATATATATATATATATATATATATATATACGGTATATATATGCTGATAACCACAAGGAAAGAAGAAAACACGAAGTTCCCAAGCGCTTTCGTGTAATTCACATCTTCAGGGGTGAGTACAGACTAGAGAGAGAAATACAAATCAATGTGTATATATACAGAGGAGGGTGAGACCAGGTCCACAATGGTCAGGTGTTAGGTAATGACCCTACTAATCTTTAAATAGCACACAACGGTTGGTGGTCAGGTCAGATGGTCAGGTGACCAGGCTTTCTCACCTGGTCACAAATCTTCTTAATTACAAAATTATCCAGCTTGTACATGCCGTTACTCAAATTCATGTTGAATGCTTCGGTGTGTTTAATAAGACTAGATTCTATGATGTTCCTACTATCAATTGAATTACATGGTAATATTGAGGAGGCATTATCCCAGTCAATGCAATGCTTGTTATCCCTCAAATGAACAAACAGAGCATTGGATTCCTGGCCTGTCCTAACACTGTATTTGTGTTGTTTAATTCTAGTTGCAAGATCTTTACCTGTCTGGCCTAAGTAAAACATATTACATTCCTTGCAAGGAACTTTATAAATGCAACCAATTGTGTTGTTGGGGGGAGTTCTTGATTAACATTTGTTTAACAGAGCATGAGTTTTTAAATGCCACACTGTTTTGTCTAGTGCAAATTATAGCATGTTTATTTTCAAATTAATCAGTATGTTACAAGAATCCCAGAAATGTTAATTATATTCACCCAGGTCATTTCACTGGCTTTTTATAAGAGAAGCTTAGTCACTTAAGAACTGATAAATATACATGCGTTAACCCTGGGCCTGTGCCAGCAGTCAAACGTACTACCTCCCCTCCCCCCATGCCCCCTCGCTCGCTCCCACCCTCTCTCTCCCCCATCTGCCCGGCGTTGCTGGAATCCTAGTAAAAGTGAATAATTTTAATATAAACGTCATGTATTTTGCACAAGAGCTAAAAATTAATCACCTGTATCACATTACAGTAGTGATTTAAGAATAAAAGTGTATATGTACGTACAGTGAACCCTCGCTTTACGCGGTTTCACTTTACGCGTTTCTACATTTACGCGGTACCCTGCCAGAGCCGGAATTCCCACTTTACGCGGTGCATCTACTCATAAACGTGGGTGAAGTTTAATTTTTTTATTTAGCTCATAAAATTCATACAAATTATCCGGCCAGAATATAATTTACATTGCTGGAATTCTTACAATTTGATGATCATTTTGAATATAAGCATCATAGATTTTGCATTTGACATACAAATTTTAGATCTAATGCAAGTATTTTGTTTACTCAGAGCAAATATGTTATCTTTTGTGCAAAATATATGAAGTGTATATTCAAAATATTCCTAGTCTTGCAAGGAATCCAGCAATGTCAATTATATTATCCTAACTTTAGTCTGAGGTATTATTTATTACTAAAAAGGTAAATATTCTGGTTTCTCCCACACATTTCTCTGGTAGGGAGGGTTGGTGGGGGGAGGGAGGGACCGACCGACCATCTGGCAAGGTTGGAAGAGGGGGGGAGGCCAGGTGGGGTACTTAGATTGTCAGATAGTGTCGTAAAGAATAATTTTTTTTTATTAACTGAAGATATTTGTTTTAGCTCATAAAATTCATACAAATTAACCGGCCAGAATATAATTTACATTGCTGGAATTCTTACAATTTGATGATCATTTTGAATATAAACATCATGGATTTTGCATTAGACATACAAATTTTAGATCTAAAGTAAAAATTTGGTTTACACAAAGCAAATATTTTATCTTTTGTGCAAAATACCGTATATACTCGTGTATAGTTGAGTTTTTAAGACCAAATTTTTAGGCAAAAAATTGGGGGTCGTCCTATACATGCGTAATAGTTTTGTTAGGTTGAACCCGTGCATGATGGGAAGGGCGTGGAGCAACTTTTAGCTTCAGACATGAAAAATATTTACCATTTACTGCCAGTAAACAATGGAAACATAAAATATGTACCAATTAGTAATGAAAAGTTGTGCAGTTGCTTCAGCAAATGAAGCACACCAACTTACAATAGGCTAAATTACTTTACAACGTACTTTCAGTAGTCTATGTTGAAGTTCTTAGCACAGGCTAACTTATCATATCATATATACGGTATCACAGTTCTCATTGATCTACAAAAAATACCGGAAATATAAACCTTTTCGATATTTCACACTTAATATAATACTCGGTAATCTACTTCAACCTCCTATTGTTTACAACGACGCATGACGCATCACCAGCTGTTGTGTGTATCAGCTAGACGGTACACGTGATTTTCGAATCGTTTTCAGTTAAAAAACTGTTACATCACATGCATATTTTACCTTAACTGCCTGAATGAATATATTCTCGGAAATAAATAGTAGTTTTGCTGAAACGCGATGTATTTCAATGTAAACTAGGATAAAATACATGACGAAAACAAAAGATTTTACCTAACCTTCTGATGTTCAAGAGAAGTTACTCGTTTTTTAATAGTTTTTGGTTAAAATATTGTTATATTACAATGGTATTCTATTCATACTGTGCTTGATATAATGCATTCACGGAAATGTAATATTTTTGCTGAAATGACGTACGTATTACAGTGGAATGTGGGATAAAATCGTGACGAAACCAATGACTTTCGCTTTCTTTCATTCAAAACATGTTACCGTAATCGCTTTTCGAATGGTTTTCAGTAAAAAAAACTGTTGTATTACAATAATATTCTATCCTAATTGACTTGAATAAATACTACGACACCATATTTCTGAATATTTTCATTCAAATCCATCGAAATCATTTTCCTTGTCATCGTCTGCAGCAACAAACAGCTTCTCCCAGTCCTCTCCTTGAACAGGGCTAGAGGGTAAGTGTTTTTCAAATCGTTTTAAGTTAAAAAACTATTACATCACACGTATATTTTACATAAACTGCGCCTGAATGAATATATTCTCGGAAATAAATAGTAGTTTTGCTGAAACGTGATGTATTTCAATGTACTGTAAAATAGGATAGAATACATGACAAAAACAAAAGACTTTACCTAAGCTTCCGATGTTCTTGAGATGTTACTCGTTTTTTTATTAGTTTTCGGTTAAAATTCTGTTATATTACAATGATATTCTATTCATACTGTGCTTGATATAATACATTCACGGAAATGTAATATTTTTGCTGAAATTACGTACGTATTATAGTGGAAAGTGGGATAAAATCGTGACGAAAACAATGACTTTCGCTTTCTTTAGTTCAAAAGATGTTACCGTAATTGCTTTTCGAATGGTTTAGTTAAAAAACTGTTGTATTACAATAATATTCCCTCGTAATTGACTTGAATAAATATTTGAATGGAAATATACAATATTTTTGTTGAAACTACCCGCGTTTCAGTGTAAAGTGTCGTAATAATAAATGGTAAACAATTAACCTTCGGCACTCGT